CCAATGAGCATGTGTGCAGTTTTAAACATGTGGTTTATTTCAGTGGCTTCGGGTGACTATAGCTTAATAAATTTTCCAGTGAAGGGCCATGAAGGGATGGGAGTCAGGGCATCGGATTCATAGATTTGTAATGGCCCTAGTTACACTGATTATCAGTGAAGCAGAGCAAATATGTTAGATCTGTTCGTAGATACACAGAATGGCTTGGGTTGGAAAGGACCTTAAAGATCATCTAGTTTCAACCCCCCCATCATGTGCAGGGATGTCACCCACTAGACCAGGTTGCTCAAAGCCCTATCCAACCTTGCCTTGAATCAGGGATGGGGAATCCACAACTTCTCTGGGCAACCTGTTCCAGTGCCTCACCCCCCTCTCAGTAAAGAATTTCTTCCTAACGTCTAATCTAAGTCTTCCCCCTTTTAATTAAAACTGTTCCCCCTTGTGCTGTCACTTATCTGCCCATGCAAAAAGTCATTCTCCCTCTTTTATTATTAGGCGGACCTAGAGATTCAGGAGGAGGTAGTCATGGTATTTTTAAAACATACTAAGAATTATCAACCTGTTCAAGCTAGCGGCCAACAATTTGACACAGTAAACTCAGGTGTAGCAACTGGATGAGAAATCTAGATGTCTGCAGAAAGTTTTTGAATTGATTTATGATCCTCTCTAAAGAAAATATATTTATCCCATAGTGATTGATTTTTTGCAACTTGCAAATAAATTTATCAAGCAGTCTTTTCTATCTTTGACCTAAACCCATGGATAGGATAGTATAACCCACACTTTTTCAGCAGACTTTGTAGTCACTAAGGCTAGGCTCTCTCCTTACTAAGATCTCCTGAGAGATGCTTTGAAGTTGTTTCCCAGTATTTGGAGACGATTTTCAGGGCTCTTCCAAAGTCTGCTGAGGTCAGAGAGAGCCCTCTGGCAGATTCAGCAGGTTTGGGACCTTTCCTAAAGTGGTTCCCTGTGTGAATCAGGTGCAGCTAGTTTTAGTCCATCAATAATATTTTTGTCTTGAGAGTTACAGCCAGCTTCTCAACAGTGGTTCTGGGGGATCAGCATGTGAGATTAGGAAATGGGAATTACTGTCCCAGCTGTGCTGACTAGTGGGGACATAACTGTGCATCAGAATGTGACCACCATGTTTGCTTCCCTGCTGCGTGCAGTTTCTCTCACTTGCCCATTTTCCAGGGTGTGCCAGATCCCTGGGTATTTGTGCTTCCTCTTGCAGTTGCAGTACCCTGTGATGGGATGTAACTGGAAAAATCATGTTCTTTTGATGGTAACAGTATGTACCATGACAGAGGCACATACCTTTCCATGGATTAGAGTGGACATACTCAGCATTTCCACCCATGCTGCTCTGAATACATCTCTCTCCCACCCTGGCAACTCCATCCCTAGGATTTCATCCACTGACTTTCAGCCTGAGCCTCTTTAAGCTTTTAATTGACACTCCACCTGCCAGACTCTGCTGTCAGGCCAGATGCCTGGCAGTATTGAGGAATATTGTGCTAATACCATAACATCTCGGGTACTTGTGTCATGTCTGTGATTCGGTGCTGCACTGGCTGGCACTGATCCAGCTACCTCACTGCATCTCCAAGTGCTCTCCCAAGACATCAGATGTGATGGGACAGGAGGGACTGTGTCATCGCTGCTGGCAGCTCCTAAGTCGTGTTTTTCTTGAAGAGGAAGAAGATCTCCAATGCTCTTTTGCCAGCTGGAAAACATTTCAAAAGCTGGTAAATGTGTTTTCTTCCCTGCTTTGTCAGCCAGAGCATTTCCAGATAACTGCCTGGTTGCACATCTTTAATAAAGTATATAAAATGTAGAATCTAGCTCAAATAGACATTTTTGCCTTGGTGCTGGTTGGCATTAGATTATCATAGTGGTGTTTTTTGGCCTTGGGAAAAAAATCTATAAATGTAGGAATTAATTTTTTTAATTAAATTTAATATTATGGCTTTTGCACTGTTAACCTGAATTACTATTATATGCTGACTGGGAAATTGTGGAGTTGCTTGTGCTAGCAGGGAAGAGGGTTCAGCTCATACATGAGGAGGAGGAGACCTCTGCACCATCACTCTGATGTCGGACCGGTGGGGTCCCCAAACTGAATGACAGATTCTGTCTGTGCTCTAGGTAATTTGAACCCTGAAAGTGAAGGACATACCTTGGGAAAGGAGGGAAGAGCAGTGGAGAAGCAAAGGGAGTTGGCTGTGGGAAGGATTATGGCACTTCCTGCTCCCAGTGAGGTGCTGCAGTCAGCTTGGCATTTTAATGGATTGGCAGGTGGCTCCTGCACAGAAGATGGTGAGGAACGGTTCTCCCATCCGGAAGCCCCACTGTGTGCGAGCATAACATAAACCCCTACTCTCCCATGAGCACAGCCGTGCGTCTGCTTCGTTCCCAAGGTTGGGCTCCAGCACTTCTGTTTAACAGCAGTCAGCTGGAAAGATCTCCTAACTGGTTTTATGCAAATGGCAGTGGGATGTCTGATGCATGTGCCTGTTTGCACACAGGCACTGTCCCCTGTCAGACAATAGACATTGCTTTGTCATGTAAATAGCGCTCAACTAACAGGGTTTACTGAGAGTTGAGCTCACTTATAGTGAATGGTTTTGACATGTGTGTGTATGCAGGTGTTGAAAGAGAGGGCAGGGAGAGTAATAAAGCTGTGAAACTTCAACAAGATAAACCAAATAACCTCCCCCAATTCATGTTATATAGAAAGTGGTAAGTATTTAACCTGTGTGTTGGATAAAGGTGGTCAGGGCTACATGGCAAAGAGATAAATATGAGGGGAAGTAAAACAATTTTCTTTGTTCAAGATTAGTGATGTCTAACCAATGACTTGAAACTGCCTCTGATTGTCATTGTTGGTCTCCACGTGTTTGTGCCTCTTTCCAGGAGTGTTCTCCTTGGCAGGTGCAACTCTGGAGGTTGGTTTAGGTGATAACAAGGCATCTCCCGAGAGCTGCCAGGCAACTGAGGATTTACATTCAGTGGAGCCGACAGTGGAGGTCAGGGGACAGAGATGCAGTTGACAGAGCAGTTGGGGAAGCTGCGGTCGCTGTCTCCCCATGTTCGTCGCCAAGTGGGGTTGGCTGTTGGTCCGTCTGCAGGCGGCCGCCTGCAGTGGAGCAGTGACATCAATCAGTCTGGTCTGGTTGTGGGGGGAAGCGTGATGAGCAACTGTTATGCAGATGCTCCCTGGGAGGCTACTAAATAGTCATTGTTGAAGTAATTAATAGCAACAAGTGAAGAAAAAAAAAAAAAGCCCAGAAAATATTTTCAGATGTCCCAGACAGTGGTGATACTTAGGGTGATGAATCATGCAACTGTCCATATGAAAACTGAATAATTTTACTTGCCACAATAAAATATATCATGAAAACAATAAAAAAAAAAAAAACCAAACCAGAGACCAACATATAATCTACCAAATGTCTATGGTGTCAAGATCAAAATGTTGATTGGTATAAAACCTAACTCCAAAAATAGTATTGATGATGTTGTAAAGAAAAGTATAATCAAAAGCATATTGTTCTTGACCTGATGGGGGGCTTTGCTGTTTTCCAGATATAGCTGCTGTTGATGTGGTTCTCACAATGACACCTTTGACTGGTTTTTAAATGTTTTTTGGAGCAGGAAGGGGTGAGAGGCAGTGTCCTCTCTTAAACAAAATCCATAGATCTTTTTCCTTAGTAATTTATACTGGATCCATGTTGGAACTAGGGAAAACATCACTGAAAGGGAAGTGATGCTGCAAGTCTTGGACAAACTCTCTTAAAATCAGTTCAGAGAAATGGCAGATATATCCTGCAGTAAATGATAAATGAGTTCCAGGAAACTCACTCTTTCTAATGCAATAATCCACTCTGCTGAAAAATGCTGCTATTCTAAAGTGAACACAATCTTTGTGTTTACGTCATATTTATATGTGATAAACTGCTTTGCCAAGAGGAAGAAAAGGAGCATTTCGTAGATTTTATTATCCTGTTATGCACTAATAAAAAAAGAAACCCGTTTTTCTCTGAGAACTGAGCAAAGAACAGAGGGGCAGTATTTAGACATAGGAAGTTTTCTTAGAAAGACTATTTTATTATTATAAGGTAGTAGCTATTATGTTCCCTCACATAACAAAATGGTCTGTCTCCACATCTTAATACTGGGGTATTCTAAAATAATTTGTTTTATTCTATTGTTTATGTTGCATAAAATGAAGCTACCAGGTGCTGAGAGTTTTTCTTGGACTACATGCTCCCAAGGGAAGTGGTCACAGCACCAAGCCTGCCAGAATTGAAGCAGCATTTGGATAATATTCTGAGATACATTGTGTGATTTTAGCGACTGTCCTTTGAAGGGCCAGGAGTTGTATTCAATGATCCTTGTGGATCCCTTCCAACTCAGGATATTCTATTATTTTACGATTCTATGAATCTATTCTGTGCAATTTCTGGTGATAAACTAGAAAAGAGAATTTGGGGTCCCTTGTGGAAAACTGCAGTCTCTTTTTCTTTTTTTTTCCCTTTCAGCCTGTAGGTGCACACAGAAACTTTTTGTTAGCTATGTAAGCATTCTTTCTTTCAAATACTAATTTAACTTGGTGACTGTACTGAGAGTGACCTGTGCTCTGGCATTGCATCTTTTCCATTTAGCGCAGGGGACTTCATAAAATTGATTAGCTCATAGCTCTTAAATCTTTCATAATTTTGGCTTTTTTTCTCTTCCCTCAGAGAGGAAGCTGGTGTTTTTAACCGTTTCCATGAATTTAGGAGAGTCTATCGCCTAGCCTTTCAGTATCTGTGATGTGTGATGTGTCCTGGACTGTCCTCTGACTTTTGAAAATCATTATTCCTGTGCTTTTTTTGTTACTGACGTGTAGGTGATACGGCCACTGAAGCAGCCTGGCAGCAGTTTGGAGGGGAGGGAGCTGGGGAGGGGGAAGGTGCGTAGAGTATTTTTTGCCCTCTCTGCCAGTTGCACGGGAGAGAGGACGGAACTGTGAGCTTTTAAGCCCTGCCACCGAGCAGCTGGCTGCCCACCCACACCGTGCTGTGCCATCCCAGACAAACATCTCCTAGAGCATCTGTAGGGCAGTGTGACTCACTGAGCCAAGGGCATAATCCGTGGGGATGCAGCTGGACCTCAGCGCCGGGGGACAGTTCCTCGCTGCTGCCGATTGGAAATACTAATCCACAGTCAACCTGTCCTTTTCCACACTCCACTGATGGGGTGAGCACATTATCCTCAGGGGTGAGCAGGTTATCCTTGGAAGGGACTGCCCTGCAGTGGAGCAACTGAACCTGTGGGCAGCACATCTGACCAGTTTCTCTGGAGAGGCTTGGGGAAGTAGGTATTGCTTTCCCAGCCTGCCCCAGGTAAGTAATTTGATCTTAAACAAAGAAGCACAGAGATGGCTGTTTCTTATTTAAAAATGCATTAAATGTTTTTAAAATAATTTTTGTTGCTGTTTTGAAGGCAGAAGGCTTGAATATTCCCATGCTTTGTGCCTTCCCTGAGCTTCTGGATCTGGGGGGTGATAATGAGGGATTTAGTTCTGGGCAGCAGGTGCTGGCAGCAGGGATGTGATGCAGTGCCTGTAATCATGTTGTCGGGTTAATTTTGCACCATCTGGGTGTGAAAGGAGCAGTCAGGCTTCTAACTGTGGTCCTTGGGCATCTGGTACCTTCTTCCTGCTGCAGATGTTGTCAAGGAAAGACACTGTGTGTCTGAGGCATGTAGAGGGTTAAAGCTGGTGCGGAGCAATGCCACTGCCAGTGTAGCCACTGTGCCAGGGAAGGGTCCCTTGGGAGAGGAATAAGAAGGTTGTTCCCACTCACCCTGGTCACCCCTCTTTTTCTACCAGCCCAGGAGAAAAGGAAAGTTGGTCTTTCAGTTGTCTGGGCTTCCTATCCCTAATCGGATGCACTTTTATGAATTGCAAATAATCCCAGCGGAGGAGATGTAAAGCAGATGTCGTGGGGAACGAGACCTGTTGTGGGAGCAGGAGGCAGGCTTGTGCAGTGACTGCCCTCTGGGAACAGGAACTGACAACTGCTGGAAACTTGGACAAAGTGGGAGATACCTGTAAAAGACTGATACCTGAATCAACACCATGCTTTGCTTTTATGTATGATGCAAGTGGTGGAGAAGGCAAGAAGATAAACTACATGGTAACAGCAAGGCTGTCACAGTCTGTCACTCCAGCATGGCAGGGCATGGCAGGCTGAGGATCATGATCTCCAGGGGGGCATGTGCTGCAGTAATCGCAAGACAGCGAGAGAAAGGGAGCACAATCAAACTAGGGAGTACAATTTCCAGCATTTACCTTGCATAGGTATGTACCTGTTATCCAGGCTTTTCCCTGGCAGCCCTAACTGTCCAGTGTTGTGTGTCAGTTCACGTGTTAGTGTGTGTTTCCAGTGGTGTGGTGAACATTCACAGTTTCTGCAGATTTGCTCAGAAATGTCCGTGTGTCAGGAAAATGTTTCCACTGAGGTTTTTGCAGTGAATATGGAAATCTCTCAGTGACAGTGATGTTACTGCTTTTTTTTTAGTATTATTATTTTTAATTTGAAGGGTAAGAAAACCAAGCAGAATCTGACCACAGATGTTTTAAGATGCACAGAGTTGTAACTGTACTGTGCGTGACCCCATCCAAAGTGTAGGCAGACAGCTTATGGGTAAGGTTGGGGACAAACAATCGATGGTACAGTTCACTTGGAAACCACCACTGCACAGGCAGAGGCTGGCACAGAAACACACCATCCCACTGCCTGAAAAACTCATGGAGAAAGATCGTTGCTGGAAGGCGTGCCCTGCACTGTGTGCCAGTCGTGGAGAGGAGGAGTGGGGTGTGCTCCTGGGTTATGGAGGTGCAACTTTGGATGTGATGGGAGGGTCAGGGACGTGTTGGGAGCAGGGGGGCCGGGATCACGTGGTGAGGGACATGGAGGAAGGGGGGAGTGTTCATCTTGCTTCAGGAGCATAAGTCACTGGAAATTAAATACTTAAGGAGGTGAGATTGAAACTTGTGTTGTTTTTCACAGATCAAATCACTAAGTGTAGGCCATCTGTATTTCTTGGCTTTTTTTATGTGATTTGTGCTAAACAGTGCACAGCACTGTGCCAGAGGAGCAGAGTATGATGTCTACAGTCCTAGTAAAGCACACAGGGGGTTTTTCTTCTGTCTTCCATATTTTCCATGTTACCAGGGTGTTCAAACTGTGTCCGTCACATTGAGAGTGTGGGTAAGACCAGTCCAGTGACACGGCACAGCACCATTCCTATGTTGTCCCATGTTAAACTGCCTTTGAGGCCCAGAAAGTTTTTGTCTGGTTTCTCTGAAGAAATGTGTAGCTATTTCCATGTTGCTCCAAACACATTTGCACTTAGAAAGCAAAAGAAAGGTGAGGAAAAACTAACTCACTGCTTCTACCTGGAAATAGTATTTCCCAATACTTATTCTTAGAAATCGAGAGTCATTTATCTGGAGTTATTTCCTGACTTTTACATAACTTACTGTTAACCTCAGAGAAACCAGTAGCTTTCCTGCACTTTCAAGGGCCTTTTTCTTACATGCATGTAATATTCTTCAGCATATTATTCACTTCAAAGAGTGTTACAAGAATTAAAACTCATAAAGCATTTTAAAATTTTTTAATATAAATTACCATAGGACTGCAAATTAAATTCTGCTAGTATCATCCACTACTACAAATTAACCAATATGGTTTTAATTTCTGTGATCACAAGTTTTTAGTGTAGATCACTGATCCGTCACGTTCCAGGGACTTTGGATACCATTTTGGTGACACAGAGTTTCACAATATGCTATTAAGCAATCAGTTAAACAGGACTACAGCATCTTCTTGTTGCAGAGGTGTACTGGTGAATACAAGCTTGTAACGTTGGAACGATGTTCATTGAAGGGTCTCATCCCCAGTATTCAGGAGACAGGGAGTTCATGTGCCACAACCACCCATGCATTTTCCCCTTATTGCTGGGAGTGTCTTCCTGGTGTGAGGGTGGAAATAAAATCTTTCTGCTGTTCTGGTGAGGATCTCCCTACTGAAGCTGTTAGCAAAAATGTCAGTACTCCAGTGGGTGGGATTATGATGGGAAAGGCTTTGTACTGTCAGCTAAACTGAGAAAAACAAATCAGTTAAGGGGGGAGCAAAAGCATTAAGCAGTAATAGCTTTTAGTTATTGCTGTTTTGGGATGGATTCAAAGGGGTAGCATAAGGGTGAAAGACATTGTATTCCACTATCAATCTCTAAGATCATCTAGTCCTGTACCTATTACTCTTAGACTATGCGGAGTGTATCGCAATAGTAGCTGTTAAGGAGCAGTACAGTGATATTTCAAGAGAGAGAGAAAGACAAATCATCTGTATGCACACTGGATAGTGTGTGTTTTCCCTGTACTGAAACAATTAAATACCAAAGTGGGAAAAGCACAGATAAAGCTGGTATCTTCCCCAGATGGGCAGGCTCTGGATCCTATGTGTCAAAGTGATCTGTAGATACATTTTCTGAGAATTATGTCAGAAATCTCTTTTCAGCTCTGGTGGCTCATTGGACGGGTCAGTGGAGCCCAGGCAGATGAACATACTGTTTGCATGATGAGTTCTAAATCTGAATTGTTTCTGTGGTCAATGGGGCATGATGTCAGCACTGTGCGGGGAACATAGTTTCTCACTGACAGCAAAGATGACTGTTTCCCAGTTGCAGGTTGTAATCCCTCCCTGAGGTGTCCTTGGGATGGTTCAGGGGAGGCTATGAAGCATTTTATACTTGTGAGGAAACAGTCAGCTGCCTTTAATTGCTGACTGCACTCTATCCTTCCAGGGCAGAGGTTTGTATATTTATATCAGCAACCAGTATCTATAAACTATTTTGTTCCCTTGGCCAACAGTAGTTAACCCATCCTTGGCTAATTAAAGTCTGGGAAACCTTGGAGGGAAGGAGAGGATGAAAGGGGGCCACACAAATGCAGTTTAGGCCAAAAGAGAGTTAAGCTCTCCGAAAGTTTAAGAATTTCTGTCCCAACCAAGGGAAATGAGGGCACATTCAAAATGGGCTATTGTCTACACCCCTCTGCATTGTAACAGAAGTGCAATGTCTTCATGAGGTTCCAAGGCGTTTTTATGACCCCCTCCCAAACCAGTGCAAAGACAAACACTCAGGGAGGAGTTGCTGCAGCACTTCTGTTTCTGAAAGCTTGCTGACAGCAGTGTTGTTTTCTGATCCGTAGGTCCAGAGGATGGCATAGCAATAACGTCACTGCCCAGGGAGCTGGAGTCCTTCCTCGCCTGTTTGCCTGCTGCTTGAACTGATCCCAAGCCTTTGTTTTTGGACTGAAGAAACCTGAAAACCTTTCTCTCCTAATTCATGAGCCAGCAGGATGTGGTCGCCGTGCTTTCAGAACGCCTGCTTGTAGCCGCCTACAAAGGCCAAGTGGAGAATGTGGTGCAGCTTATCAACAGGGGTGCCAAGGTAGCGGTTACCAAGGTAACGAGAGAAAAACGCTTTGCGAAAGCCCTGGGAACTAATATAACTCCTAGACCATTGTCTGTGAAAATGCCTTCGTAGCTTTAACAATCTGAATGTGACTGAGGTTAGTGTTCAGATTTCCTTAAAGTTTATACTTCATAGCTCACGTAAATTTGCAATATAGTGCATGTCTTTATACACTTCCCAGCGGACGCAGCTGTGATGAACGCTGAGTCCCCAGAAACACGGTGTGTCGATGGACGGAGAGCGACATTTTTCAAAGCCTGCATTGACTTTTGAACACTGTGTGACCTGATGAATGGAGCGATTCATCACTGTCAAGGGGAGGCGATTCAGAGCACCCAGCTCTCTGGGTGAGGGGATGGGGAAAAGCCACCTCTGTGGTAGGGTAAAGGTACACAGAAAGCGCTTCTTGTCGCTGAAGTCTCTTGGTACAGCAGCCTCACTTATACCCAACATCCTCATTGATTCGTTTTGTGTTAGAACCCCCTTAGTTCCAAACTTGGGGGTTGCAAAGTGTGTTCCCCATACCTTCGAGGAAAGGCCAGCATCAAAGGATTTCTGCATAGGTATTAAGAGAACTCAAAATAATATTCACCTATTCCTAACTCTAAACATGTTGTAAATAATACTAGCATATAAAGAATGAAGTAGATCTGGCTGTTGCAGAGAAGGTTTGATCAGCAAAAGTCCTTAGAATTAGGTAAGTTAAATCTTTAGAGCTGTAATATAGGATTTGGGGTGTGCTGTTTTGATGAGATGTTGTTCTCCATTGTGTCTATTTTTATTTGCCTTTCCATATTGGTTTTGAACATTATATATGTATGGGAGCTAATATTTACAGATAGAAAGCAAATGTGAGTACACTTGATAAAAAGAGGAAAAGACAGATTACTTATCTGTCAGTGACAGTTGTTTTCAGTCCCTTTGCAGTGTTTGAATTATAGATAATATTTATTTTGAAAGCTGGAGTGATCCAAGGGCAACCTGTGTTTGTGAGTTTTGTTTGCCAGAATAAGTGGCAAAGATACAAAGCTAGATACAAAGCACAGATTAATAAATATGAATAGTCCCATAAAGATGCCTGTTTGGCTCTGTAGTCCAAGCAGCTCTGTAGCTGATATACAGCTATTAAAGGTAGTCAGTAATAGACCAGGAAATACTGACTTAGAGATGCCTGACTTGTAGGTCAGAGTTTTGTGGTTGCGTATTTTTTTTGTTTGACTTTTTTAAGATCATGAGCTTTGAAGACTACTGAGGGACCTACCTGAAAATACACAAATGTTAGAAAGGATGCTATATTTCGTATAAATTTGTGCATGAATGTAATTTCAAATTTAGCTTCCACACTGGTTGAACATAAAATGTGATATCCCTTGGTTTCCAGAATAATTATGCCACTGATTTAAGTGCTTTATGGAACTAGTTGCCTTAATCCACAATTCAAATGCAAAATTGAAAAATTGACGCTTTCTCATTTTTAAGGTTGATGCACCACTGTCAATGCCTTCTGTTAATTATAGTAATAAACAAGGTATGTAGATCTGACTTTGAAACACGAAATCAGCTTAATTTGATATAGTGCAGATTTGCTAAAGTTGACAAGTGTTTCTTTCCTATATGACATAGAGTGGCTTGCTTGCTTTGTTGTTCAACCCTTGTATGGAAAATCAAAGCAAAGCTTATTTGGCAGCAGAACTGCACCCAGGTGCAAAGAGTTCGTGTTTCTTTTGGACAGCTGTGAACTCTGAGGCCATTCCTGTAGCTGACCTGGTACTACAGGATTGTAGCTATTCTTTCCTAAAAGTTGTGGGTTATCCCCATGGAGTACAGGGAGAAAAGAATGGAGGAGTGTCAGAGGAGTGGAAATGCTCTCAGAGGAGCAGCCCAGGCTACGTGCAGGGGTATTCTGGAGGTACACACACACTCATTCCTCCCATGCTGTGAGCCAGGTAGAGGTGAGTGCAATGTGACCCAAGAGGCGTGAGACCAAGCTGCTGCCCCCATCAAAGCCCATAAGTTCAGGCTCTATAGTGTCCTATCCAGGTCTACACAGTGTCCAGTTTGCATCTGGCTCTCATCCAGCCAGCTAGCTGTATAGAGAGAGCGTGTGCGTATTTGCTTATGAAAGGCTGTATAAACATACCTTGGGAAGAGCTTGGCTTGCTAATCTGATGGCACACGAAGACTGGAAGGAGAAAAAGATGTACAAAGTTAGGGACAAGGTTGTTGCAAGAGCAAGGATGTATAAATTAGCCTCAAGTTTATTTAAACTAGAAATTTAAAGGGTTTTTTTAGCCATCACAGCAACAGGTTCTTGTGCAGTCTTTCAATAAGCAGAACAAGTGCAAAAAAAGAACTACTTTCAGGATAGGGTTGTTAATTTTAGAATGGAACTTAAATGGCAGGCTTGTTGTAGCACACTAATGTAGACCAAGCTTTCAGATGAACTGAAATCTAGAGCTGTCTCCTCCCCCAAGATAAAACTCATTGCACAATGGAGCATAGAAATAAATCTATTCATGTGCATGCCTTAGTTCTCTTTTACCTGTATGTCTTGTGCTTTTATTCATTTTTCAGTTTGTTCTGTCAAATTAATTTTAAATTATAGAGATTTGCATTAAAAAAGACCCCTGGATCTGGTACTTGTCAACTAAAATTCCTGCTGGATTCTGTGAGTTTTATTGGAGGAAGACATGAGAAGACAAAGTTCTTTGGAGGGAGAGAAAAAGTTCCCATATCACTGTAGGCTTTAAATGTATTTTTGATATGCATCTATAAGCACAGACCAGTTCTTGTGAATAACACTGTAGAGAGCCACAGCTTGAAGTGACTAAGATCTCGAGCTAAATGCTAGAGAGTTCTTTGGATTAATTGAGCATAGCTTAAGGAAAATGAAGGGCATTTTCTGTAACAAATCAAGTACTAGTGAATGCCAGATAGCTGGCTTGTCCAGTTCTGTTTTTGTTGTATATGGAAGGTCATATGATATCGTTAATTGTTGCTTCAGTAAACAACAATTCAGCTGTAAAATAGTATTTCATTTTTGTCACCTCCAAGTAGATGATTTCAGACAAGAAGAATATGAAAGAAACAACTGGAGAATCTGTGCGTTCAGGTGCTCACTTTAGTGTTTCTTTGGGGATGCACTTGTTTCTTTTTGCCAGCATTACTAGCAAGGCATCTGTTCAGGTGAAGTTCAGTATGGAAATGTGCACCTCCTGTGACTCCAGCAAGGGACACTTGGGTTTGTTCCAGATCTGGGGCCTTTTAGAATATATAAAGAGCTGATGGCCACTAAGTCACCCTGCTGCTGCTGACCCTCACCACAGCGGATGGCACTGCAATGCACATGCATTGAGTGCTTGTCCTGGTGCTGGGACCTCTGCCACTGGCCACGTGGGGCTGTGGTCAAGAGAAGGTGTGTGGTGCTCAGCAGAGGCTTCTTCGTGGCTCTGCTCTTCTCAAAGGGCACCTGCTCAGTCAGGGTGCTCTGTTGCCGCCCTGCCCAATATGACAAAGAGATAATTTCCATTTTTATGCCTTTCCATCTGAAAAGGCGTTCAAATGTATAGCTGTTTTCTTTATGAAAAGGGCAAAAAAAAAAAAAAAAATCCCCTGAACAACCAATCACACATATTGGACTAATCCAACAAGCAGGTTCCATTAGCAAGTACTTTGGTGAATAAGCTGCAAAAACTGGAAACGTAGGAACTGCACCTGCTGTAATTAAGTCTTTTCTTCCAAGCAAGAAAGCTGGTCCCTTCTTTCAGTCTTTTTGCAGTAGAGCCCTCTTTCAGCGACATTATTGACAGCTGCATCTTTGACACAAAAGCGCTGGGACTTCTGCTGAGCTGATCTGTCTTGCTGTCCTCCCAGGATGTTGCTGTCCTTTTACTGGGTTATTTTGCTTTTCATTTTGTGAGCTGAGGTAGATTTGGATCTGTGCTGCTAGAAATGGCACAGGAGGAGCCGTGGTAGTGACATCTCAAATCAGGTCAGGTTTTCTCTCAAGCTTGTTTCCAGAATGCTGCCTGGAGGATGGAAAGCAGTGGCATCAGTCACGTCAGGCATCTGCTTCTGGTGCATCCCAAGGATGCCTGGCTGAAATAAGGCACTTCTGGAGCTGAAATTTCCAGGTATGAACCTCTGTGCTCCAGCTCACCAAAACAAAGTGTCACTGGGTGTTGGGTTTCACTGTTGTGTTGCTGCACAGGGTGTAGCATTCAATAGCAAGGGTTAATAGGGCCTGAAAAAGATGTGTGTTAGCAAGCACACCCAGAGGAGTGCACTGTTTCTCTGGTAAACACAGAAAAGATTGACAGAAGAAATCATAAAGGTAGCACAGGCACTTTCAGTGTAATTTGTGTAGCGCCATGGGTTTTATGAGTATTTTTAAAGAGAAGCAGAATATAGCTTATCTGCAGAATACAGCATTAAGATTATAGGTATAAAATTGAATTCTGCAGAGAAGGGATGATAACTCAGAAAAAAAAGGCCCAAGGAAATACAAGAAGTAGTGCTTCTGTTTTGATTCAGTGATTCTGTGTGTTTGATTGAACTTTTGAATTAGTCATGTTACGAACATGCCGTATGGCATGTCTCAACTTCAGAGCATGTCGAGTTCTTTTAAGCAATCTCTTTTTTTTTCTTCTGTTTTAAGTTAAACAAAAAAAAGAAATGTATTTTGGTGCTTTCACATTTTTGCACTCCTTCAGTTTGAAGAGCTATTTGTGTCTGTTTTAAACAATAAATAAAGATAAATGAAAAGGGACTAGCAAACATTTAGGGACTTGCTGAATGCCTGTTGAGGTAAATGGGAAACTTTCTGCTGACTTGAGCAAGCAGGTTATTCATGGAGAACAGTCTAACAAATCATCAGTGTGAACAATGTGACAAGACTTGGATTTTGCTTTCAAGCTTTCCAGTAAAATGTGGATAGGCATTTTTTGTACGGGTGCTGAATAGATGAATAAATAACAGTCCTTGTGCATCACAAGTGCAGGGTGAAATGGAGGACTGAATGTACTTTTATAAAGTATCTAGACATACATAAACACAGGGAAAGATCACGCAGCTTGAGGTGCTAAGGCACCCCTGTATGGTTTGGTTATGGAATGCATACACTGGCATACATACCCTTCTGAAAGTTCTGCTTTTAAATGGTATGTATCGACAGGTGCCTGACAATGTCTGAAAGTTAGAATACAGATTAAATACAAACAAAATCCTACCCTTGCATTTTACTGCTGAAATTCATGTGGCTGTTTACAGCGCTTGGCTGCAGCCTGATACGCCCCACAGCTATAGCAGCATGTCATGGTGGTTGGAAGTTGCAGCCTTAGTCAAATAGGTCCCATTTATTTTGTCAATAAGTCCGTGACGCGGGACCATTTGTATGATTTGTTGCCTGATGAAGCAATTGTTTACATTTGAATAGAAGTCCAAATTGCTTTTTTTTTTTTACATGTGAATGACTGCTTTATTGGTTCATTAATCCCAAGTTGCAGCAGTCTCTCATTTATATTTCTAATAACCCCCAAATCATTACAGTTCATATTTGGCAATGCTCACAAGCTTTTAAGTCAGTAGTCTTCATTTTGAGCAGTCCCTGGGTTTAGTGTTGTCTCCTTGCAATGAGCATCCAGGAGACACTCTTCTTTGTACATGATTCCTTTCCCTCTTAGACCCTCGTGTGTATTCAGATAAATCCCTGGTGACAGGTTGACCTTGGCTGGATGCCAGGTGCCCACCCAGCTGCTCTGTCACTCTCCTTCCCAGCTGGGCAGGGGAGAGCATAAGGTAGAGAAAACAACTCATGGGTTGGGATAAGGCAGATCCCAGGATCTTGCTCTCAGTTGAGGAAGGAATGTTACAGTGCTGATGCTGTGCTCAGCAGTGGCCAAAACACCGGTGTGTTATCAACACCCTTCTAGCTACCAATGCACAGCGAGGGCTACTACGGGAAATGAACTCCAGTTCAGCCAGACCCAATACACCCCCTCTTTGGTGCTGCAATGTTGAATGCAAAATGTCTTTATGGAGGAGATACACAGAGGGAGATTTGTCTGTCTGCCTTCATCTTTCTTCCACCTATATATTTTGGGGAGGGTGCACTGCTGTGAGAGAAAAACTTTGTGGGCTGTCAGTTTGACTTACAGACATGAAGGCAAGAGCAGCCCTGACTGTTGCTGCTGTGGCAAGGACTCATTCAGTGTTTCTCTCCAAAGCTTGCTGTGCTCCAAGTTTGTCATCACAGCGTGAGGGGCACCCAAACTCCTTGTCCCTTCCTCATGGTTTGTTCTGGATTAGCATGTGCATGCATATTTACATACCTGCCTATGTGCATGTTTGTGTGGCAAAATGGGTGGGAATGTTTTTCTAGTGTTTGTGTTGCCCACACTGGAACACTGTACCATCTGTAACCACCCATCTCTGCTCTCATTTTGAATGTTACTGGGAAGAAAATCTGGCATGGCCAGTTTTTGCAGGGTTATGATTAATCTTGAGATGATCGGTGCTCTTCCAAAAGCCTGAGCCTCTAATTAGTGTAATGTGCTGGAATTGATTTTCCTCCCCACTCTCCTGTCCTAGGTAGTGTCACAGTTTTTGTTTATAGTGTCCCTTTAAAGTGGGAAGAACTCGAGGACTGCAGCTGTGCAAAAGCTCTGGTTGCTGAAGGTCTCTCTAGGGGTCTCCAGTAGCTGAGATGCCTCTGAACCTTTGTTTCTGGATAGAGAATCTGAAATGCACAAACCCTCTGGAATAAAAGTGATCCTTTAGTCTTTCAACCCAATTTTTAATTTTTAAAAAAAAAAAAAAAAAACAACCTGAGTTTTAGGGACCTGAATAATGGTTTTGAATGCTTTGGGGATGACGATAGTGGAAATGCACAGTTAACATGAACCTCTATTCACTGAGTGAGAGGAGCATCCCGGCAACCCTTTCTTGCAGCTCCCCCTGGCCCTGCAGCGGCCTCTTCCAGCAAGTGCCCTCTTCTCCTCCAGCACCCATATCCTGTCGTGTAGGTTACAGGGACAGGACAGCAGTGCTCCCTGAGGTGAGGGCAGCCTCCTCCAGATGAGCCCATTCTCAGGGGCAGCTTTATTTTAATGTGGCTTAAGGCACTGAATGGGCAGGTGAAGGGCATGTGATCTGAATCTTCTGTGGTTTTGCAGCCTTTTCCTGCGCTTGTGCCCTGCCAGCAGGCACAGTCTGTCTCACAGTTGCCTAGGATGGTGTGATGGTTGAGGAAAACATGCCCCTGATATTCATACAAACTCCTATTCTGTTTTCATAGTTTACTTTTCATAGTTTACTTTTAACTCGGTATCTTTGGCTGCATATCAGCATTTTTTTGGTGGCTAGAGCTGGTTATCTTATCAGAAAGTTTCCCTGTTGGGATATACTCATGTTGCTGACACTGTTTTCCTTTTAACGTACATGAGCTGGCTTCAAGTTGGGTTAGTTTGGGATTTTTCCTGATCCATGCACAGATTGCTATGAATTGTTTTCATGATAATTCATTAATAACCTGCTGGGAAGTGAGATAGATGCCTGTATTAGGTGATTTACATATTGCCATTAAGTAATGTAGAAAAGTCAGAACCTGTAAATCTGAATGTGCTGGCGCACATATTCATAATCCAAACATGTTGTTCATAGCTGGGAATTGTTTGTCAATTTGGCTTCTTTTTGTTTTCTTTCTTCCCCCCCCCGCCCCCCCCGTGTTGCCTGGGAACTTTTATGCCTTCTGCTATTGAGTTACCTGGAACAGTGACATAGCCCTGGCTCTCCTCCAAGCTGATGGAAACGTGGTTGGTGCAGCTCAGCGCCTTTCCACGTAGGGCCAGGCATTTAGGGACCTGTGACCAGATCGAGCAAGAGGCACCCAGGCAGCAGGGTGGATGGTGCCCACGGACAGCGGTGACAGCTGAAAGTGAGCTCTTCCCACACCTCCAGCAAAACAGGAATGGAAGTTTCCCACACAGGAATGAACTGCTGCTACTAACAGGAGACAGCGTTTGGGGTTTTGAGAAGCCCATGTGTCAGAGTGGATGAGGACTTTTCCCTTAGACCTGGCCCTTCAAATCAATAATGTAGGACAATTAATCAACACGCAATGTTTTTGAAGTGCAACGCAACTGATCAGTAATCACACAGACATTTTGTCCCCAGCCGTTCTGTGGATCCCAACACTGTTTTTTCTTTTTGCTCTGAGGAGGCTGAGTTACCAAGGTTTTACCAGCTATGTGGGTATAGGATTCACTGTATGAAAACAATCCTGTCTTGAGCTTGCTTTATTATTTACTTGAAGTAGTTTTCTCACTGAAGAAGTTGCTTAAAACCTCAGAGAACTGCCTTCTACTTACTTCAGTCCACTAGTTGTCAGATAGCTTTTGAAGTGTTTGCTCCTTCTGTAGGTGATATCTTAGGGCTGTTTATCTTCCTTTGCAGGGTAAATAATTGGATGGAAAAATAGACAACAGCACCAGTAATGAAATAATAGATATATAATAGAATTTAAGAGTAATATGACTCTTCTTTATCTCATAAAATGCTTAATAGAGAAAGCAGCATTCTTTGTGAAGATACTTTGTGAATTTAGCAATGGCTGGAATCCTGTTTGCTTATTTGCGATTAAATCTGTAGCGAACAGTTTTAGTGTGTTGCTGGTGAACAGACCTTGATGTGTTTCACTTAATTTTCATGTTGATGCCTTGAGATTTGAGCGAGAAGGAGTGAGAAAGAAAGATAATGTTTAAAAATAAGTATTGTAAAAAAACCCCTGACAAATCTTTAGCAAATGAGGTTGGTTGTCACACACATGAAGTCACTGGAGTGACTACAAGTCTTCCATTCCTTTTCGTGAGAGCATCTGTCATGCACAACAATTCAGTAATTCTTGTCTCTGTCACAGAGAAGGTGCCCGCTACAATATATGAATTAACCTGCCACTGCAACTTTGCTGTACAGAGGGAAGTTGAAAGTGGTTGACAGTTCTGTGCTCCAGAGGGACAGAAGGAAAAGGGTCATGAATTCTGCTTAGGCACGGACACAGAGCTGGATTTGAATTTCTAAGGAAGTACCCTTCTGTGAATATGATATCCCTTTTGTAGAGTGTCATCAGGATAAACTGAAATGTTGCAGAAGGGTGAGGAGGAATTTTCAGCATACACAAAACTAAGGTAAAGCCTTTGACACACTAATATATGTCAGTTGCTGCTGTTGCAGGTTTCAGAGGGTGAGGTACAAACAGAAGAATGATGAAAAGCAGATAAAATTATATTTAACTGCCATGCATAAAAATTCACCCTAATGTATTAATATTTTCTTCTCATTCATAGCATGGCCGGAGCCCCCTGCATCTTGCTGCCCACAAGGGTCATCTCCACGTTGTCCAGATTTTGTTGAAGGCAGGTTGTGACCTGGATATTCAGGATGATGTAAGTAGATAAAACTTCCTTGCTTGCAGTGGAGGGGAAGAGATGATTTGCAAGTAACAGTGGACCTTTGCTTCTTTGAAGTGAGATTAAACGAAAGCAAAATCTGTCTCTCTCTTTTCTAATTCAAAGATGTAACCTCCAATTTGGAGATGCAAAACTGCATGGGAGACAATGTAAAATGTGGTGGTTTTCAATGAATAGCTTGGTCCTCTTGCTCAGGCTGCAGAGCTTTATAAGAGCTCTGGTTGTGCCAGGTAGGTGTGAGCAGCAGTGAGAGTCATCATCTGCTGCTTTTTGTAGAAATGCAGTAGGAGCTCATTGAGCTCTGTGAGCTCATTGTGCTCTGCACTAAAGGATGTCAGGTAGGGAGCACAGTCGGTCGTGATGTTGGCCTGAAGTGGGAGATGCTTTTTGTGTAGGCACATCCCTCAGCATCTGAGGTACTGAGCAGCTGCCCAGAGCACTGTGCAGCGCCGCAGGGAGAGCGTCCTGTTGGCAGCCACACGTGATGTGGGGGTGGTTGCATCTGTGAAACTGTTGTGTGGTGAAGCACCAGCACAGTGAAACCAGCTTTCAGCAAATTTGTTTTCATTCAGTAAAACATTTAAGTTACTGAAATTTCTCAGGTTTCTGTAAGACTAGTTCTAATCTTGGAACAAGCTTTGAGGCACATTGGAGTGACTGGTGACATGGATTTAGTTACCTCACTCTGATGAAAAATGGTATAGACTGAACTGTGAAATGGCAGTCAAATAACCATGATTTCTACAGATTAATTGCTAACTTCTGATGGCACACTAGAGCAACTTTGAGGTTAGGGTTGCTTTTTTTCCCCCCTGTAAAGGTGAAGAGTCTTCAAAGCACCTAAAGGTCCAAAGGTGGTTATTAGAGGCATCTGTATGACTTTTAGAAGGACACTGGAAATTTCTAGGTGCCTTTTGAAAATCCCCATAGGCATTTGTTTGCATCTAGAGAGTTAAATATCTATAGAAATTAGAAAGCTGGTTTCCTTCTCTGCATGAGTAGCTGATTCCCTGTGACACATGAGCAGCTTGTCTGACGAACTTAAGACTGTGGTACTGATGTGGCCAGCCTTTCACAGGGAAACTTGTTTTTCTAGGAGGAACATTTGCTTCCTGCACTCTTTATTCTTTCGCTATGCCCATCTGTGAAATGGAACATATTTGCAAGTGCAGTGGAAATATCAGTTTATTCAGATGTATCTTGGGTATGTTTTTTTGACGTCTCCCAGCAAAAATGATTCATCAGGTATTTAAGACAAAATTGCAGGTACTTAACAAGTACAGTCAGTTTTCCTGAGAAAAGCAAGTTGCTGCTTTAAGAAAGCAAGAGCTTCCACTGGTTTGGTCGAATTGGGTTTCTGTGGAAACTGTTTTTTGAGTAAGTCTGGTTTATTATTTTTAATCCTCTAGGAATAAAATCTAGGCTGTTTATCTGTAAACCTGTAAAGCTGTAATGGAAAACCAGTAAATCAATGTTTAGCATTGTTTCAGTTCAGTAAAGAGTCTTGCAGCTGTAGAAATATTCAGCTTGTAGAAGACCAATTTCACTTGTCTTGCAAACTTCTCAGGGACTTTGCTCACTACAGTTGGATATTACTTCTAAATGTGGTGATTAATATGAAAGAATAGATGCATGCTGGATTAATAGATTCTGTTTTTGATGTATTTTGATTTTTAGCTTTGTATTTAGTACTAGTAATTTGGTTGGGATTGAGGAGAGCCTCGGGACTTGCTGAGTCTCAGAGGATATGTTTGGATACGTATTGTAGGAGAAGGAAGTCTAAAACTTCAAATGAAGATTTTTGCTTGTGATAGGTATTAACTAAAATATTTCTGCTTTCCTTTCACATAGGTCTTCAAAGAAAGTTCTCTGTTTATGGTTTCTCCTTGTGTAATTACTTTTTACAGTTTATGCTCCACAGAATATGTTCATAGTCTCTTTTAGTTGCCATCTATTGATTATCCCTTCTGCCACTTCTACTGTGTGCTTATGTGGCAGTGAAGGCATCTTAGTTTCAAGTGTTGATTAACATCTGTCCATTTCATTGCTGTTTTTCAGGAATACAGATTTAGGTTGAGATATGAAAATGCTTGTGAGAGTGGAGAGTATAATATTTATTTGAAAAGTAAATTACTTTGTTGATTTTGGTCCTTGTCATTGTGGCAACACACAAAAATCCAAAAAGATGATCTACATTTTATTTTTCTAAATAACGAGAAACATAAAGACTTTATTTTGGAGTTTTGAACAAATTCAAGTCCAACTTTTAATTTGCCACCTGATAAGCAGAAACTTAAAAGTTTCTAAATGTTGTGGAGAGACTAAAACGCTCCCTTCATGTTCTACAGATACATTCTTTAAACATGGTTAAGAGCCGTATGAATTAGTTGAAGAATGACCTCCAGTGGCCTGGAGTGGGATTATTACGAATTTCAGCCGGTGGAGTCCAGCTCTGTAGAATACGCCACCCCGGGAGCTAACTCCTTCCTTCTCCCTGCCAATACTGAAAACTCTTACTGGGATCCCAATGTCATCTCTGAGTGGTCCATGAGTATCCATACAGCACACACCTCAGAAATAGTCAAGGAGAAAGTTGTTCCGGTGAAGGAAATCAAGGATGAAAAAAATAAGAGAAACCAGAAGAGAAAGGCTAGGAAGGAACCTAGAAGATCAGAGAGAGAGAAGGAGGTTAGAACTCTTGTGCATCCCCCCTGCCTTGAGCCTGACACCTCGCACGGTGCATGCTGCGAAACCTCGGCCGGGCGATCTGGCGCAGCCGAGCTCTGCGGCGCTGCATGGCTGCATGGCCGGCTTGGGGCTGGGGGCCCTGCATCAGCTTTCCTGCCCTCTATGCACTCTCTGAAAATCCAGCTGGGAAAACAGTGTGATTTAAAACAAAGGCCAGAGGCCCTGAAACTTCCCTAGATGATCTTTAAGGTCCCTTCCAATCCAAACCATTCTGTGAGTTTGGTGCAAATCTCCAGTAGGAAGGCAGTCAGTTGATTTCTGCGAACATGGAAGGACAGCAAGAAGGTACAGTGTGGCACTGGAGAAGGGCTTTAAGGGAAATTGTACAACTGATGGCTGTTCTGGAGAATAGGAGTGTGCAGGAGAACAAATTATGGTGGTTATAGGTTGTTTTTTTACATCAGAGAAAGGAAAAATAACATGTATTACAAACTAGTGTAAATCAAATCTCACTCATTTTGGGCAGTAGAGTCTACAATAGATACTTCAGTAACACAGAAGAGCTGTTCAGAAGTCTACCTGAAACTGTTTTGTAAGTCGCTTGAATTGTTTCAATTCCCTTGGGGTGAACTTCACATGTAAAATAGATGCCTGTCCAGTTCCCAGTGGTTGCATCCACTGTTTTAAGTTAGTCAAGGAGGTAGTTGCAAACACCAGGACACTGCGCAAATGCCACCAGCCTAGCCAGCACACAAGTGCTAAAGGAAGGGTAATGCCGAAGTCCATGGAGAGGTCAAGCTTTAAGTATCCGCATTTCTTCCGAACTCCCAACCTGTAACCCTCTCCTGACAGCAGGTGTTTAAGCTCTCTGTAAAGAACATGGTTTCACCCTTTGGAAATTTACCTGCTGCTGTGTAACAGCCCCGTTACAGGTAGAGCTCTCAGATGTGCAGTCCTGCATCCTCTGCGTCAGGGGATGCAGATTTCTATCCCAGTCTCCCAGCATTTTCCTCCTTCTATCCCAGTGAATATCAAGATTTTTCTTAAAAGTGGAGCACTTTCAACACTGCAGTGCTGTCATGACAAACTGTGCAAGTAACCTCTGGGCTGCTGCAGAAGAGCCAGTGGCCACTTTCTTCACTGGCCTCATTTCAAAGGGTGCTGGGCATACCTGCAACATGCATGGAGCTTCCTCCAGCAAGCACGTGAGGAGAGCACTTGTAGGGTGAGAGAGAGGAGGAGAGATGTCTGCATGAGAAGCTGCAGCAGGGCAAGGTTGTGTGGTGCCACTGTGACTGCAGTGCCCTGTGGCAGTGTTGCACACTGAGATGTCCAGGGCATTGGAGTGGAATGGGTTTGAGTTGCCTTTAGGGCTAGGCAGAGTAAGGGGGTTTAAGATTCACCAGTGTAGATCTTAGTGCCTTACTTCTATCAAGCCTCACTTAAGCCTTTTTGGCTTTGGGCCCACATCTGCATTTAGGCAGACTGTTTTCTGTCAAGGTCATGTTTGTGTGACACAGCACTGGAGTTATCCCTCTTCATTGCTACTGATCTGCAGTCTGTTCCTAAGGCATAAATCTCTTGCAAATAGGATCATAAATTGTGCCCAGCATAATAGTCTGGACAGTTAATACACATTTACCGCTGTAATTGCTCTCTGAGCCTCTGGAAGAGCCCCCTAATGCCTTGCTAAAAGCAGAAATCCGATGAGTGCTTTCACGGACAGTTATTTTAGCAATTAATAAAAGATACACAAGTCAGTGATTACACTGTCTGAAAATTCATGCTGTGAAAAAAAAATGTATCTGTTTTCTCTGACTCCATAAAAGGCAAGGTAGGGATTTGCTCTGCTGCTGATGGGAAGGCACGACAGGTTAGAGTGCAGCAGTACAGGTAGTGTTATTTATAGGTGAGCTATGCCATCCGTGGCTGGGGCGCTCAGTGACTCTCACACAGAGGGCATTGCAATCTGGTGATTCAGCTTTCACAGCACCTTAAGCAGTTAAAGGTTAATGTTTGTGCTGAGGTCTGAGGGAACAGTTGACCAGGTCCTGCTCTGTCCCTCTGGCTGAGTGGCCAGGGGATGGTATGGATAGACCCACACCAGGACACTGATATATGCCATCTCTCCACTGGGAGGTGCCTCAGTCGGTGAAACAGGGTTTGAGATATCCTTTGACAGTCCCTGCTACAGGGATGAGGTGTTTATTTTGCCCAGTCAGGGTGTGGGTTGGACCTTACTCTTAGATGCCTGACTGTCCCCGTGCTGTGTAGGGAAGATGTTGACACCAAAGCCCACACCTTGGACAGGAGGCACCTGCATCTGCCATTTGCGGGAGTTGTATCCTTTCACCTACTGGGGCTTCCACTTCAGGGACCAGAATAGAGTATGGGATGAAGGTCGGGCATGGCTGAAGCTGTCTCAGTCCTGCTCCAGCACGTGGGTTGGGCTCCCCAAGGAAGACCTGCTCTTGCAGCAGTGAGGTGTGCTTCCCGCTTTCCAAATAAACAAATATCTTTGTTTTGAAATTAAATGAGATGGCATTAAAAGTAGCTGTAATATCAACACACTCTAAAAAGCTGAATGGCTTTTGACCTCACTGCAATTGTTGTGATGGGGTTGGGCTAATGACAGAAACAGCCTTGTTTTAAACTGACCCAGTAAGAAGATCCTTAATTACAAACCAAATCCAGTACAATCAATTCCTGCCCCAATTTAGTCTTCTCCACAGTAATTTCCTAGACTGTGAAGAAGTAGAAACCAACCATTCATTGTTCAAACTCCATTCACTGCCATGGCAGTTGCCATCTTGTTTTAGTCTGTTTTATAGTATCTTCTGTAGTTTTGCTGGTGCAGCAATACCAGTTGGCAGGGATAGGCTGGTGGATTACTTTCCACTTTGTGACAGTCAGATAAAATTACTTTTGCACTGTCCACATTACCCATTGCTGCAGTAGCAGTAGCTACTGGCCAGTCATCAGTGCCATGCATTTTCAAAAAAGGGTATTAAGTTCTTTCTCATCTTGGTGAGCAAATTTCCACTTAGTCTAAGTTACTGGTAACTATTTGACACTTGCACTTGTGAGATGATATAATTTGGATGTTTTCCATAACATTTTGATTGTCTTTGAATTTGGAAAAAAATACAAAAGCTCAGAGCACTTGCAGCGCTGTCAATTTTCCAACACTTTGTGCTTTTCTGAAAGTCCCACTTCTTGGAACCATTACTGTCTTTGTTCAAAATATCTTAAAATACATTAGCAGTCACAAGAAGAAAAGTATGTAGCCTCTAGAGAAAAAACGTAGATAGCAATTTTTAAAAAAAAGGACCTTCAACACATTTTTTTTGAATCAACTTCATGACTATAAGCCAATTTAACGATTTAGGGGTTATTGAAAGGTTGTAGTTGGTAATGCTCATTTTTTCTGTATAGATTAATGACTAGTTTGGTGTCAGCACAAAAGAACCCCATGAAGAGCAATTTTAAAGTCAGCTGCTAATTACCTTTGAGAACAAATTATTCAAATTAGCCAGTTTTCTGAAGAGTTGTAGACTGTAGAACAGGAAACACAGAAATTCCTCTAGTTTTAGTATTTAAGATAATATGCCATCATCTGATAAATATTTGTAGCAGAGAAATTTTGTTCTATTTAGGACTAACTTCCTGCGAGCCTTTTTTGCCCAGGATAGATGGCATATCTCTGCCTTGCCTGTGTTTGTGGTGACCATTATCTAGATGGGTAGAAGCGGATTGGATTCCCACTCTGTTTATTCATCCTGAAAAAGGCTGTGTGCAGCTTTGAAGCCTGTCTTTGCTCGTGAACTCAGGCTGTGCTTCAGCATTGTAGGTTCAAAGTGATTTCAAAGAAAAGCCAAAACCAGTTGTTGTGGCAGCAGTGGAGCTACTGCAGCTCATTTTCCCATCGATCGGTGTCTTACATCCCTACGTGCTGCTGCATAAATCCTTCTCTTTCCCTTCGTTTATCAGGGTCTCACCAACATGCACATAAAAATATACAGGTAACCCCCACTGGGCAGGGCCAGTGGTTTGCGTCTCCCTGGTCTTCAGTTTCTGGAAGGCTTGTAGAAAATCAATCTTGGGCTCTCTAGGTCAGCAAACGAGTTTAGCAGTTGTTGGAGGGGAGCTAGATGGGCAGTCAGACAAGGTGACCACATCGGCATAATTTCTTTTGGAAACTTGGCCATAAAGGAAATAAACTGATGTAAGAAACTTGCTTATTGCTGCTACGTGGCAGGTCAGTGAGAAATGAAAGTTGTTTGGGCCTCGGGATTGCTCAACTCCTTGAGTGAATTGAGTCTTGCAGCTGTGGTCCTCATCATAAAGTTGCCTCCACTCTTAGCACTAATTGGTAAATTCATCAGAGGTGCAGAAGAGACTGATCTCATCTTGTGCTCCTTACCCTAAGCAGGGCTGATGGAGCAATCAGAGTCAAAACAGGAGAGCCTCATCCAGTTAGTGTAAGTACAGGAGGATCATTATGATGAACTGCGACAGCCTGTAGTTCCCTTCAGTTCACTGCAGATACTGTTGATTATTAGACACGTCGTGCCGAACGTGTTTGATTCACTGCCTTCTAATACCACCAGTTTTAGAATGCTTCAGCGCTGTGTGTGGGGTTGTGATGACTTGCAAAATTCTGTGAACAGTTGGTTTGATACTTTCAGTTGCTTCATTGATCTTGTAAACTTTAATAGTAGTTGTTTACAGGGACTGTTTTCAAAGGCAGCTTGGATTTAAACAGTATGTGCGCTGAAGATGCAGCCCCTGTGTGTGTTGCCTGCATTTGCAGTGAGTCAAAATGAGGTGGGAATGGTACCAGTTACAAATTTGTTTCTTTTCGCAGGGTGATCAGACGGCATTGCACCGAGCTGCTGTGGTAGGGAACACCGATATCATAGCAACTCTGATTCAGGAGGGGTGTGCTTTGGACAGACAAGACAAGGTAACAGGCAGAAACAAAACCCTGTGGGATGGCAGCCTTGCCAATCAGTAACATTAAGGTCTCAGAGAGAAAGTTATAGTTTATACTCCTGAGCAAATATCTGATGCTTCAACAGTAATTGCAACAGTTACATTAAAAAAAAAAAACAAACCACAACTATACCATTTCTTTAATATAAGTTGCTGATTTAGTTATGCAAAAGCATATTAGGTTGATAGTTTTTGGTTTAAGAGTCTGTTATCAGCTCATTAAGGGAAGAATTAAAGTAATGTACAACCATACTAGGCCCTACTCAAAGCACTGAATTTTTCCATGATTATCTCAGCAACTTGAGAATCCCAGGCTTTAAGAATCCCAAGCTTTAAGTTTAGTTTGGGAACAAATATAACTAATTTCAAGTTCCAGACAAAAGAAATAACACTATCTTTGCCCTCTTCTAAAAATAAGCTAAAAGGAAAGGAAAATATTTTTTAAGAGAGCAGGTTATGCAGCACATAACCTTCTCCTCTTGTGTGTGTGCTCATCAGGATGGGAACACTGCTCTTCACGAAGCTTGTTGGCATGGATTCAGTCAGTCTGCCAAAGTGCTTGTTAAAGCAGGAGCCAACGTTCTTGCCAAGAACAAGGTGAGACCCATGCGGGAGGAGCTTTCAGTTCTGGTATAAGGTGGCTGATTCTCAGAACTGGACATTCCTGGCCATGGCATTTCTCAGCAGGTGGGGGGACCAGCTCCTACTGGGATTTTTTTGGTTTTTCTTTTTGTTGCATTTATCACGCCTGGATGGTTCATCCACAGGCATTAGGAAATTCATATTTTGACAGCTGATACAGGATAAACTCAATAGCGCATTGAATGATACATTAATTACAGCTGAGGAACACTGCCATTCCTGTGGAAGTCTCCATGGTGCTCTCATTTATACCAAGGTGATTCATTGTGATTGGTATGATTTAAAATGGAAATTAATTGTACTAATAGGAAAATGGTGGGGGGTTTCCTGAAATTAAATAGCCAAAGGAATGTAAGCCATGGGGAAGGGAGGGGAAGTGTATCTTTTGTTACTAAGTTCTTCCTAATATATTAGCGTAGTCTCTTCCCAGAATCTTGTAATGAACCTGGATTATGTTCCCTTAGTTATTTATAATACCTTGTGAGCCATTTAGAGGAAGGAATAACAAAGCATGGGTTTTAGTTCCACTCTAGTTGTTGTAACTGTGGGACACTTCAATTCACTAATTCAAAAGCTAATGCAATAGTCTAGGAAATAGTGGTAGCAGTCTCTGGTATGAGTGGAGTCCTGGTTTGGATCCCTGAGCTGATGGGTCAGTCAGATCCCATAGCTGGCACTGTGCCCTTCATTAGAGGTAAGAGGACTTTGGGATGGCTTTATGGGATCTCTGAGCATTTTTTGGTAAATGTGTCACTAAAGCAACAACTGAAAGGAACTGGGGAAGAGCCAAGACAGCTGACTAAGATTTAGAGTAAAAAGGCACGTTGCCTGGGCATAGTGTTTCTGTATTGCACGTATCTGCAGTGTATAACCACGTGTTTGTACAATTGTGGTGACTTTGGTCTGTAATTACATGATCTTTGATATTGTTTTATGTGTATTCCTTCTTTTATATTATTTCAGCTACTAGTTTTTATTTTCTGTAGTTATTTTTGCTGTAATATCCACCTAGATTTTTATCAAAGGTACTTCAGAAAACTTTCCATGCTTGACTATGAAGTCAAGACTATAAAATCTTATGAACCATTATGCTCCTACCCCCGGATATACTTGTCTGTATATGTGCATACACTTCTGTACAAAGGTGTGGGCTTAAGATGCAAGTCTGGTTATCCTGCATGCTTGGATGCCTCAGGGAATTAGAAGATTTAGCTTACAAGCCAGCCTATATCAGCTGGAGACAACCTCTCTGGGAAAGTATGTGCACAGAATAGCTCAGCAGGGTTGGTGGCTGAAATATGACTGGCAAACTTTAATATTGTGTGAACAGCTCCTGTGCTGGCCTTTGATGTCTTACCCTCACAGTCCTCTCCCCTTAGCATTTTGCTCTTTGGGTGGTTTCTAATGGATAAGATCTGTTCTCAGGAGCTGCTGAAAAATGGGGGAATTATGCATGCTTCCACGTGCTTTTACCCCTTTTGATTTCAAGAAAAATGAAGAGCTTAAGTCTACTTAATCCCCAAATGGTTTCTCTGATCTCTCAGCTCTTTGTGTTACCGATGACAAGGCATAATCATTCTGACAGCTTTTCTGGCAGCCAGGGCTGATGCTATGTGCCGGAGCATCCCATGAGCTGTTGACTTACACCTGGGAATCGTGTGATTTTGGCTGGATGGGACAGATACAGGCTGCTATATTTGCCAAATCCTGTGAAGCATCAGAAGACAGAAGAGATTTGACTCTGTATTTTCCATAACTCATGGTTAATATCACCTGGGTAGCTGTGCAGCAATGACCCTGGACGTGCAGTTTGTTTTCAGTCAAGGTGGTTTAATAAAAACTCTTCTACTGTGATAGATCATCCAATGAGATCAGTTATAGCCTTGTTTTTAGATCCTCCATCAGTCTGTACATTTCAGTGGAGATTCCCAGACTGGCACAATGAGGACCTCCTCTCCCTCTCCAGAAGCTGGTGAGAGATTTGTTGCTCCACGGGAGACGAGCCAGATGAGCCGCTCTGTGATCCCTGACCCTCAGCACCAGCACCGTGACTTCTCCCAGCACTGAGATCCTCACTCACCCCGTGCTGCACGGGACCTCTTGCCTTCCCACTGGGGTCAACCTGCCAAACAGCAGATGATAAAGGCGTTGCAGATATTCACAGATAAACCCGGGAGGGAAAAAATTTACACTTAAATACAGCTGAGCTGAGAAGAAAAATGTTCATGTCTGCCACAGCTTGGAGACTACATTCAGGTCTGAAATAGTCTGAAACATGGGAGTGAAGACCTACGACCACATCTAGAGTTGGCCTTTCATAATTCAACCCTGCAGCTTTGATCTGTTTTTGAAAGCACAGGGGACAAATTAAAGGACATAATCAAGGTAAATAGGCAGCCTAATAAGCATGGGAAACCTTTTTACCTGAGGTGATTTAATTTCTAGCTTTTAAGAGCAAAAAACTACAGACATTTTCAGGCCAACAAAAGCCAAATGCTGCCAGAAAAACTTGTCAGACCAATAAAATCTTTCACAGTGTTAGAAAGACAAAACACAAGCAAATGCTTCTTTGATTTCTGTCCATAAATATTGGATGTTGGCTTTTTTCAAGAACAATAGCATGTGATTCTCTGGGGTTTGGGTGGCTTTTTTTCCCCCTTCTCATCTTTGTTGGAGACTCATGTGCTTTCTGAAGCTTCTTGATAGCCTAAAATCTGCATCCTGCCCTGTGAGACCACCTACAGCTCCAGCCAGACTTAGGTTTGTTTTAGGATCATTAGGAGATGGGAGTCATAGTGACCCTTGATGCCTTGCCATGACAGTGTGTTCCTTTGTGTGTGTGCATGGGGGAAACCCCAAACACAAGAATTATAGTTCTTTAAAGGAAATACTTGATATTAATGAATGAGACAGTTTCCAGAGTCTTTCCTTCCTGCAAGTAGACTTGACCAATGCAGATATCATTAGACTGTCCAGTTTCTACCTTTACTATATCCCAAGTAAGCTGTTGCCAGAATGAAGAGGGGATTTCAATCTCCAGGCTCATTCAGCTCATGTCTTTGGGAAACTAACAGTGATAGTTTCCCACCGCTGGGTAGATCTTCTTGTGGGAAGACCTGTGAGGTTTTATTTTTAATGTTTATGTCCAATTTCTAAATATGGCTTTTATATTTTCTTGCATTTCTCTAAGGCAGGTAACACACCTCTTCACCTGGCTTGCCAGAATAGCCATTCCCAGAGTACTCGTGTTTTGTTACTTGGAGGATCTCGAGCAGACCTCAAAAATAATGTGAGTTTTGAAAACAGCATGTTCATGTTTGTGTGATTTTGTTCTAGCTATATTGCTTTAACTTGTAGAAATACTCAGAAAGGCTTTAATCTGTGATTATATTATAATATTATATTATAATTTATATTATATTATAAATGATATTGAAAAAAACCACTAGTCAACCGTTGTATACCTCATGTACAGGAATGCTTTTGGTAGGAATTAGTGATGCGCTACTTTCACCCATCTCTTGAGCAGAGATGGAAGGAGCCAAAAGGGTTTTAGCTGTTGCACAGACTGAGGCAGCTGGTCTTTCCTGCCTTTCGGGGTCCTGATGGCCTGACCCAGACACTGTCATGCAATTCTTCAAAAGGGCTTCTCTCTCAAAAATATGGAAAACCTAAAGGGGTTTTATGCCAGAGTGGTGAAAGTTTTCAGACATGCAGATCATATATACTGTGTGTCAGTCTGTCAAATGAGGTAGATTCAAGGTGACTTCAGTTTCAGGCAGCTTTCCTCCTATTTTATAATGATTCTGGCATGACAAAGGAAAAAAAAAAAACAATCTACAAAGGAAGCCAGATGTTTTTGTCTCTGCTTGATAACAAAGTGGGCAGAGACACACAGAAGTGAAAACCTGTTTGGGCTCTGTGTGGTATTTATGGGTCTTTCTGGTTTAATAGGATTATTTCATCCCCGAACAGCATGACAAACGCAGGCTTTCTCACTGTGATTACATGCTCAGAGCTTTGTTTCTGTTTGCAGGCAGGAGATACCTGTCTGCATGTGGCTGCTCGTTATAATCACTTGCCCATCATTAGGGTGCTGCTCAGTGCTTTCTGTTCTGTCCATGAAAAGAACCAGGTCAGTGCATGAACCCCATCGTGACTCTGTGCCCTTTGCATACGGCCAGTTGTTGGGAAGAGGGATTCTAACCCCAGTAATCCCACTTCACTCTGTGTTCCACTGTACCACCAAATGCCTAAGCTTTTAAGAATAGCCGTAAAGTAATGACATATCAGTGGTTTATTGTTTTGCCATCGCATTTGCATCATTTCTTTAACACATTTCTTATTTATGAGGTGATTTAATGATCTTACGGCCATTACAGAGACATCATGAAGCAGAACTCACGGACATTTAGATGCTACAAAAGTGTGAATTCCTCTGAAATGCTTTTCTTTGCTGCATTTTGCAGTAAGGGGGAATTAAAAGGACATAAAAGCCTAGGATTAATCATCCGTAGTAGTTTTACAGGGAAGTAGTTGATTCCTGTACCTATAGCATACCCTAATTGGGTGGTAGAAGGGAATGAATCTAATGTATTAAAATGTGTTAAATCTGCTAAATAGACAGATTTTGTGGTACTTAGCCACATTTTCCCATGTTCCTAGAAAGTTTTCCATGTGTAGTTGAAGATCATAAAGATGTTTTCTGATCTGTACGTTTAATCTTCTTTCTTCGTCATGAGATAATACAACAAACAAAATGGGTTTCAGCATATTAAATTTACTATGTAATTTTATTTGGAAATTATTTTTTTAACTTGCAAAATGAGTTACTGAATATTAGAATCAACTGCTGTGAACCTGGCCCAGAGAAGATATTCCTTTTCTTCATTCCTGAGCACTACGTGAAGTTGTTCCATATTTGCACATACAGTGATTTGATTTAGGAATATGCCTTGTCTAAGTTAGCATCAAATAATAGAGAACCACAAGTCCCACGGAGATTGAAGTTTATTAAGACAAAATGCAAGGCAAAGGGGACAGGAGGGCATTATATACACGTGTAGGGTCTCCCTTGAACAGCTGCTGGCTCCGTTACTGGTGCTTAAATCTGATCATGGCTGTCTTCACCTCACTGCACCAGGACAAGGGCAGGGCAGTGTGTTAATGCTGGACCTGGACTGCATCCTGGCTTGGGTCCAAAATTTGTTTTTCCTGAGGAATCTTGTGAAGAGAATGCCAACCATCTTGCTGCTGGTACTTATCTAATTATTTTTGAGTAATGTGATACACGGCCACCTGCGCACCAAATAATCAAACCTAGGGGAAGGAAAAAAAAAAAAGGGAAGATTGTGGTGGGAAAACTGGTTCTGCCCTCAGTTATTGTATCCGTTTGCTGGAGGTAGAGCTGGGCTGTCTCCAAGCTGCATCACGTATCAGTTGGTTTAGTTAGAGCACCAGCACCCCTGCTGCTTTTCTCAAACCCAAGCTGAAGTAGCTCCTTGCCCCTCCGGTCACCTTCCTCCCAACTCAGCTATTTTTTTAAAATTTTTTATTGACCGGGCCTTATTTAAGCTTAGTTGTCACATCAGTAAGTGTAGGTCTTTTCACCTCTGAGCATCTTTTACAAAGGTGTCACAAGTTTGTTTCCTGCTTTCTGCCCTGCAGGCAGGGGATACGGCACTCCATGTAGCTGCTGCTCTGAATCACAAGAAGGTGGTGAAGCTGTTGCTGGAGGCAGGGGCCGATGCATCCGTTGTCAACAATGTAAGCAGGACATGGAGTTTCTTTGGTATTTTAAGTGAATGTAGAGTCCCTTCAACATTCTCCATAGGCTTGGTAGAAAATACTTGGTTGATATGTGTTGAATTATATCAGGGTAAATTAAAGCAGTTAGTCGCTTTACTCTTGTGCACAAAGTATGTACTTAACATGGTTGGAGAAATTCCACATTTTCTAGTCTATGTTTTAAAGGAAATGCTGTTTTCTATTTCCTCTCAGGCAGGTCAGACCCCTCTAGAGGTTGCTAGACAGCACAATAACCCCGAGGTTGCACTCCTCCTCACTAAAGCATCACAGGTATGTTACACACCTTCCCCCAACACACACATACACATGGAGCTGAGGCCAGTTAACCTTGGGAGGCCACATCCCCTGCTCCTTATCTTGTGCTGTGAAAGGTGCCTACATTTCTACTGGCACTGTAGGCTGGCCTTGGGTCTATTGATGCAGAGCTTTTCAGCCCCCAAGGCCAGCAGGTGTGCAGATTAAGCCTCAACATTAAGTGCTGTCAGAGATCCCACTGTCCTGACTGGCAGAGCATGGAGCATTCAGAGACACTTGTTCCCTGCAGTGGCCTAGGGGTTATAAAGTTGCCCTGTACCCAAAGGCTCCTGAGTTGTGTCACTCTGCTGCCTGCCTCAGGCACGTCCCATCCCCAAGATGGGAGATGCTTTGAAATGGGGACAAAATGTCCTGTTTATACTTCACAGCTGTGTGTAAAACGCTGCAAAGCTCTTCAGGCTGGAAGGGTATGAGACCAGGTGCTACCCCTTCCCTCCTCCTCCTTGTCACCTCTGCATGAAAAGGCCTGGGCTTGGCTTCACAAACAGCCCAAGGACACAGGAGGACACAGGAAGAGTTGCTTATCCTTCTAGGGGACTGCGAAGTGCCCCAGTAGACTGAGCTCAGTGGTGTGTGAGAGGCATAAACACCCACATTTCTTGGCCCACCAGTGTCCGTCTGGCAGTGCACTCTCTTTTATCTATTGTCCTTTGTAGAGATGTGGAAAAAGTCTGCTCTATTACTTGCCTTTTGTGGTAGGAAAGAGCGTGACATCACTGAGTAACAGTGTGGTCTGCCTTCAGGTCTCGCGTTTTAACCGTGGGAGAAGCCTGAGGAAGAAGAGAGAGAGACTGAAGGAGGAAAGGCGAGCTCAGTCGGTGCCACGGGATGAAGTGGTACAGAGCAAGGTACAGCCTGGTATTACCAGTTGGATCTGCTGTGAGGAGGGACTGTTACTAAAAACCCATGAGCACTCAGTCTGTTTGGAGCCATCACTTGTGCATGGCCGAGGCAGCTGCCTGAGGCAGTCTGTCGTGCTTTGCTGCTAAAGAGTTTCCCAGGAGCAGAGCACCTTAAAACTGGGCAATTGACAAAGGGGCTCCTTTTGCCCACCTCTGCAACTGCTCTGAACTCCCTGTCTTTGCTTCAAGCAGGGCAGTGTCTCAGCTGCTGACACACCGAGCAGCGACCAGCCCCCGCAGAGGAAGAACAACCTGAAGGATGAACCGCGGTCAACCTCACCAGATCCCAAAGGGAAGAAGAGCAAAAAGAAAAAGCCAAAGGAAAAGGTATCAGTAGATTTAAAACAGCAAAGAGAGGGAAGAGGGAGTTGTTGAGCAGTAAGTGGGTGTCCCTTTGGTGTGTTGGTCAGTCAGGGCAGCAGCCCTGCTGTGCTCGTGGGGCAGAGATAGTCTTCAGACAAAACCGATTTTTGCTGTTAATTGTCAAAATGGATTTGTCCCATTCCCACCTGGAACAGTTTACCAAGGGGCTCATAAATAGGGAAAACATCTGTATTTTATTCAGGTTTCTGCACTCTCGGACCCCATCTGCCCAGCTGATCAGCAGACACTCCCTCAGCCCCAGCAAAACGTGCCTAAGCGCAGAAGCAAACATCACTGCTCCTCCCCACCCCCACCCCACGAGGTCCGAGCCTACCAGCTCTACACACTGTACCGAGGAAAGGACGGGAAGGTGATGCAGGTGAGCTGGCACTGCAGGGGAGGGAGATGCTGGGAGCAGCACAGGAGTTGGGGCACAGTGAGGAAACGGATAGAAAATATGCTTGATTGACTGCACTCTCATGACTGGATTCATTTTCCTTGTTTGGGTTCCAGCTGCATTTTGGCCTGAAGTCTGGCAAACAATAAGCTGGTTTTGTGCCTGTTGAAGAAGACATACTTCAGTAGTTTTGATCTACAAAATAGTTCCTTTTTGGAGATAAGGTGTGAACAGTGACTGGAAATGACACAAGAACTTTTACGATATATTTTGAAACATTAAGATTTCGGACAGGAAATGCAAAGAACTTTTCCAAGGGAAAGCATCATGTGAGCACTGAAGGCTTACTGCCTAAACCAAGAGCTTGAGTAAGCTCAATAGATTTTGTTTCAATTCTTTCTGTTTACTGCAACATGTCTTTGGGGATTCCATGTTTCCTGGGGGCAGAATCTATACAGAAACTCATATGCATTTATTCCAGTTTTGAGACTGAAATTTCCAGACAGGGGCACTAGTATAGCTAAGTAATTATCCCATAGCAGACATCAGGAAGGATGGAGGACCTTTTATGTATTAAAAGCAGTATCTCCTTGCCCCAAGCATCTGATGGTAGGCAGGTAGGACATAGGAAGGACTTGGGAAACAGAAAGAGAGGTGCAGAGAGCAGATAGGATTTGTATACGAATCTCATCCACTCACAAAGATTAGCTTAATAGAGCTTGACTCCCATTTAGTATTTCCTGAAATACATGACACTCCTCTCTTTTTGTTTTTGCTTGGCTGTATTCTTTGATGCCCTCGGGCCCTGAATAGCAAACATAATTTCTTAAGTACGTGTACTTTGAAGCTTTCTTTAGTGCTGAGCAAACCACCCACCTTTCCCTGCCAAAGGAATTACCCCCAGTTTGTGAAGCACTGCTGCCAAAGGAGAGAGGGAGGCTCCTCTGCAGGCAGATTCAGAACAGCCATTTTGGACTATTGGCACACCCTCCTGAAGGAGCCAATTTCTGCCTTTGGGCTGCAGAGGAGGCCGATGAGGATTAGCTGTCCTCACATAAGGGAGCCTTTTGTGACCATCTCCCTGAGAGATTTAAATGCTGGTCAGTGCAGCCCCTCCTGCAGGGGGGCCATGGGGTGGTGTCTTGTGAGTCAAAGGCAGGCAGAGGTGTGTCCAGCAGTCAGGGAACAGCTGGATACCAACAGGGTGAGAGCAAACAGAAGCAGTGAGGCCTTGCCACTTAGTACAGAAAAAGGACAGAGCACATTATTGGCATTTGGTTAAAAAGCAAATGCACACAACCTACACACATCCAAAAAATCAGATTATTTTTTTACAGCAGAATTAGAGAATTCAGAATTACAGCATTGAGACGAGGGTTATAATAATAAGGCCTTTAAAATGGTATCCCCTCAGACAGCACTCAGTACCACAGCATACACGATCTGACCTCAGTGCTCCTTGTAGCCCCAGTGAAATCAACACTGCTGAGTGTTAGGATGTGTCCATATAAATCAGATCAATCTTTTATTCTAGTCTGTGCTTTTTCAACTAATAGCCTGTTTGCTGAGCTACTGTAAGATATTATCAGGAGGGTGAGATGCATTATGTGGTACAGAAAAGCCCAAGACTGACTCAGGGAGGCTGTGATAATGTTCCAAGTGCGCTAAGAGGATGGTGGGATGTAGCAACTAAATGTATTACCACTTCCAGGCACCGATAAATGGATGTCGTTGTGAGCCCCTGATAAATAAACTGGAGAATCAGCTGGAGGCAACAGTGGAAGAGATAAAAGCTGAGTTTGGGACAGTACAAGATAAGATGAATATTAAGCTGGGCCAGATGGAAAGCAAAACTCAACATCAAGTAAGAATTTGACCCAGAGCTCTGCTTGTCCTTATGACTATTAGAAAAGTATCCTAAGCTTAACTACTGTTTTCATTGTCATGATTCATTTATTGCTTCTTATGTTGTAAAAAAGACAGTGAAATCTAATACTCGAGACCAGGGAATTGTGACATTCCACAGGGATATAATGTTGCAAACTAGGGTCTTGAGAAAAGACACATTTAATGTGTTAAGTGTCTTCTGGTGCTTCCTTAGACAAGGAATCTTAATGGCTTAAGCCATTAAGGGGGAAAGAAGGCAGCCCTAGAGCTGGTCGGTTCATAATTGTAAGAATCCCTCTTGCTGACTTATGTATGCACTGAGATTCAAGATCCCCTAAATTATTTTTTATTTAATAGTTATTCATTGATAATTTTGTGATTGAACCCCTTTGCAAGCTACATCTAATTGTAGTTGGCAGAGTTCCTAGAAAAAAAGACTGAAAGGCAGACTGTACTTTGATTTACAAGGTTCACAGATGGGAGTTTTGTTTGGTTTTTAATGTGATCATCTCAGCTGAATTGTGGTTTTCTCCACAGCTCCGTGTTTTAGACAAGCTTATGGCTGAGCGGCTGTCTGCAGAGAGAACAGAGTGCCTTCACCGCCTGCAGCAGCACACTGAGCTGGAAAAGAATGAGGGGGAGAAGCGGCAGGTAGGGCTCAAAACAGCTACTCCCTGTTAGCTCAGCTCAAGAATTTCTTTCCAGTAGGCAGAGAGAATATCAGAGATTTATCTCATCTGTTTAAACAGGGAAAAGAGCTTCAAAGAGCAAGTTATTCCTATCCACCACCTTCATCTCTAAACCAATTTTAAAAAGTTTTTGCATTAGAAATGAGGAATGTGAAATCCAGTCCCACTGTTGTAATATAACTTGGTGTGCTTTAAGTGTGGGATCCATAACAAAATACTGCTTTTCTAACATAGTGCTTTGCAAAAAGTCCTACTGCTAAATTTTTTACAGTTGCGTTTTCAGTTTTTGTTTCATTAAAGGACATCTGCAGGAACATCCGCAAATGGTAACAAAGGCTAAGATCTGTGTTGTTCCTTTTATTTCTCATCCATTAGGTTGTGGGCCTTGGGAATTTCTCCCTTCTTCTCACTCTGCTCCTTTTTTCCCCCATATATTGAAAGGCTGCAGTTCTTTCCTCTGATGTTAGCAACAGGGCACCACCTCCAAGCTGTGTATTAGTGCCATTAGGCAAATCCTTTTTGTATGCTTGTTTAACCAGCAGTACAAGAATAACTGCTCCCATAGAGATCCAGCTGATCCAGCTCTTGCCCTTCTACCTTCTACAAAAACTCACCACTAAAACCTGCTAAGAAATTTGTGTTTCTCTACTCACATGGGTAAATTTAAAATACAGTTCATTTTCTCATTACTGGTATTCTTCCAAGAATTGGGCAATACACTTTGTTCTAGTAAAATGTCATGAGTTTTTGTAAGACTCTTCCAAATCTGCTTTAAAAGACTGGCAGCTGTGATAATCCTTGCATAAACTACTGATTAAGACAGTATTTTGGGTCTACCATCCACAAAACACTGTTCTGTAGAGAAAGGTACTTACCAAACTAAGGCAACTTTAGTTTTTATGTCATCGTAAGAGACGTAAGTATTATACTGGCTGCTGAAAGTCTAGGCTTGTACTCCATCTCCTTGTAATCTCCATTTAAGAAACGAGATGCTGGAGTGATACTTCAGGTGCACTGAATTAAGCAATATCAGCTGTTCCTGCTCTGTTGGGTCTAATTGAAACTGCTGGGGAAAGAGAAATGGGCTTTACTAAACACATTGACTAAATGTCCTTGTGCCTAGGAGGGCTTGACCTAATTCATGATGTCGTATGAACAACAGGGTGGAAGAGCTACTCCTGTTTTAAATTATTCAAATTACTCTGAAGCTGACACTTATTAAGCACCTTTGTAATCTGAAAGCTGTTAGTGATTTATTATTTAGTGTGGAACTCGTCTTTATCACTGAATGAACAGAGAAGCCCAGGTTGGTAATGATATAAAGCTGGATTCCACAAGGGTCTAATTTAAATTTCAGCGTTAAAAAAAGTCAGCTTTGGCCACATGATGTTCCTTGCACTTAGAAAGTATCATTGGCTGTATGATTAAACAAGTCATTCCTGATTAGAGGACTTAGAGTTGCATTTGAAGTCATATCTAAGAGGTGGTGGCTTGGAGAAAAGAGGGTGCCTTTCATTAGCTAATGCATAGTTTTTCACCTTTTCTGATTTGCAGTCCTTTAAATACCCCCAGTGACAGCATGCACATCTGTACAGGGAGTTGAAGCCCAGATACCCAGCTTGCTTCTCTTTGTCCTTGCCTCACATCCTCAGCAGCCCAGGAACCGTAGGATCTCATCATAGGATCGTCTAATTTGCAGCCTCTTTCTCATAGATTTCCTTGGTCGATGAGCTGAAGACTTGGTGCTTGTTGAAGATTCAGAACCTGGAGCTCAAACTTTCTGGAGACTCCAGGTCATCAAGACCAAAATCAACTCTGTCCACTTGTGAGTCTCTCACCGAGACCCTGGATACAGACAACCACCCCCACAGTGCCAAGGACTGTAAAGCCAACCAGGCTGTGCTGCAGTCAGAGGGCTCCCACCAGCATTCCTATGTCACGCTTCCCAATAGCCTCTTGGAAGATGGGGGAAGGAGCAGAGTCCAGATGCCAGAACAGAGCTTTGGGAAACACTTTTGCGTGAAACAGGATGGTGCATTGGGTACAACCATGCCAGGTACTTAGATGTCATATTTATTCAAGGGCAAGCTAATTAACTGAGGGATGCTTTAACATCTCATATAGTAACTCCGGCTGTGTGCTTCCCCTCATCCATATGCCTAATGTTTTGGGATTAGAATATGCTTTCAAGAAAGGCAGTGGGAAATTTTAAGACATGGCTGGGTGGAATTCTGCTGACTCATCCTGATACTTCTGGTGTCTTTGAAGCCACGTCCTTTGGTGCTCCGAATAATTCTGTTTTCTGAAATTTTTCCACCTTCTGCAGAAATGCTCCCACCCTGCTGTCTGTCAGGAAAGCAGGTTTGTGCAAATTATCCGAAGTCTACTGAAAAAAGTGTATTGTTATTTAGTGCTTTTTAGATGTTTGGAACCTGTAAGGGCAGAGATGTGAACCTAAAATACTAATTTCCCATGTTAATATTCAAACTGCAAGTATATAGAATAAACCTCTTTTTCCTCTTCTCTTGAACCAAAGTCTGTTTAATTTTTAGTTCATTTGGCAAGAATAAAAATAGCTGAGAACCTCAAAAGCCCATTCAGGGATCAAGGCCACCTGAAGATATGGTTTAAGCCACCTCTATATGCTTGGCTTTGGAAACTTTTGAGAAAAAATAAAGATGTGGGCAGAAAAGCCAGGTCTCCACAGCCAAGTATAATGCAGAGTGAACAGACATGGACATGGATGCCCCATCAGATTAGAAAGGCACGTAGGAGACCTTGTGGTATGAAAGTGTGAGCTTTTCTGCATTGAACAGTTCAAAACTACAAAATGTGAGACCTTTTCATAATTACCGGGGCTCCAAGTTTTATAGAACGAGGGTGTTCATAAATATCAGCAGACATACTTTGGAAACCTAGACTGATGTTTGTTACACATCCTTCTGATGAAGTCATAGAATCATGAATGGTTTGAGTTGGAAGGGACTCTAAAGATCATCTAGTTTCAACCCTCCTGCCATGGGCAGGGACACCTTTGACTACACCACATTGCTCCGAGCCCCATCCAACCTGGCCTTGCACACTTCCGAGGATGGGAAATCCACAACTTCTACAGGCAACCTGTTGCAGTGCCTCACCACCCTCACAGTGGTCAGTGTGTAGACCCACGGCCGCAGTGCAGCACCTCCCTGCCTGAGCCAGCTTTTCTCTTTATTACATCACCTGACTGTGAAGATGTTTTAAACTAATATAAGCCTGTACAAGGTACACAGCATGATACGTGGGAAACTGCATCATTCATCAAACAATGAGGGCTTCTGAATGCTAAAATAAATGCCCAGAGCTTTTCCTAACATATTGTCTATATTTTATTCTGTAGGTACAGAGCAACAGTCAGTGGCCGGCGGACCAGTTTCTTCCTCTGCCCCTGCTCAAGATGTCAGGCCAAAGGACAAAGCTGTTAGTGCCAGCACGTTCCAAAAGTTCCAGCAGGAGCTGCCCTCCTCCGAACTTCTGGGCTCCAAATTAAGACATGTTAAGGTTCAAGCTGCTTTGCAGCCATTGACTGAACCTGCAAAGACTGAACCACAGGGCGGATACTTCATCGACAAAGGAACTCAGACAAAAAAGTCCAGCAGGAGTGGGCAGTCGAGGCACAAAGCTGTGCACCATGGCGGGGCACACCAGAGCCAGGAGCAGCAGCCCTGCCCCCCGCCTGCAGGACAGCCGCCTGCCCCTCCCCTCAGAGACACCTCCCAGGCCCTGGAGATAACACAGTACTTCTTCGAGGCTGTCTCCACACAGATGGAGAAGTGGTATGAGCGGAAGATAGAAGAAGCCCGGTGCCAAGCAAACCAGAGAGCGCAACAGGACAAAGCTGCGCTCAAGGAGCACATTAAATGCTTAGAAGAGGAGCTCAGCAAATTAAGGACTAAGGTGCAGAAGGACAGCTAGCAACTGCTGAGCAGGCAGTCAAGCAACGGGACTCATCTTGGAACCTTCTGTATGGGAATCTGGAATATTGATAGATATTTGTAGTGCCTGTTGTATTTAAACAAAACACTCTTTTTCAGGAGTAGAAATAACTCTGGAAACTCCATAACTGAGGAGGATTCATATGCAGACTACACTGATAACAATGAGATGCTGCAGCAGATTAGATCCTTTCTTTGTTATTTCCAAGAGCCTGTTAATATTGCACTCTCAGTTTCCAGATGCTGCTTGAAAACAAATGTATTAGCAACCAAAACTGCTTTCTGAAACGGGAATTCCCTTATTTCCACATAGGTCATGTGCGGCTAAAGGGTTCCACTGTATGCTACATGTAAACATGTGGTGATACCAGTACTGAAATAAACGCAGGATGTTTGCGAGCCTTTGACAGAACTCCTTAGTGATGAAGGGCTATTGATCCTGTTTTAGATACTCCCCAGGGCCTGTCTCTAGTCAGTGAAGAAAAGCTACAGAACCCACTCCAATTACAAGCCCAGGTAGGTGACAGATGCAGGCTTTCAGCTGGAAGAGGGCAGGCAACCACAGATGGAGATGCTTTACTCTTGGTTTTATGTTATTAAAATGAATGCTAAACATCAGATTTGTCTTTTTTTTTTTTTTAGTGGTGTCCTGGTTGCACAGCTCCTTGTGGTTACACAATTGCTGGGGCTGTGATCTGACAGAGAAGTTTTGTTTAAGGTATGGATAGCAAATACTTTACTGTAACCATGGTCTACTTGTTAGGTATAAGTTTTGTATGAATCTCTTTTCCTTCAAGCAGCATATGGCTGAATTCTCTACTGTTGAAGAAGCTTGAAAAAGTCTTTTATTTAAAGTGAAAGGTTGGTTCCTTGTACTCCAGTATTTCTTTTTCTGCAGTCAGGATTTTTTCCCAGACACTTTGTCCAGACCGTCTACGTTTGTTCCTCTAAATGACTCCTCTGTTTTTTTTTTTCCTTTATCTCTAAAAAGGAGACCAGGCCCCGGTGAGTTTGCAGGTCTTAGGACAAGATCCCACTGAACAGACAAAAGCTTGAAAATGTTGTTAAAAGTTCTATGTGTTTTGTTATACAATCAAAACTTACCTTGACCAATGCTGACAGACTCCAAATGATTTAGAGGCATTGTAACTCACTGTCTCTGCACCCCTTTAGGGGTTTCCTTCTTATACCTCTGAGAAGGCTCCATCAGATTCTGTTAAAAAGGTAAGTTTACTTACCAGATCATGATTGAACTGATTTTGAAGAATTGTTCTAGCACAGTATGGTACTGTTATGCCAAGGAAAAAAAATATTTTTGTACTGGGGAGCCCTAAAATCAGTACAAAATACTTTATACAGCATTGAAGACACCACTGGCTAATTAGTGATTAAGCTTTTGTCTTATTAGCAGATGTATAAAGAAAGTTGTATCATATAACAATATTTTTTAAAGTTCCTATTAATGCACTATCAAGACAAATGTATCTGCAGCTATGGAAATACTAGTTTTGTTGCTCTGACTTCTATAGTCTAATATAGACCCTTATGTTTACAGTTTTGTTTAAGCTACTGTAGGAATGCAGAAGCATGCTACTGAAGTTTTGTATCACCTGGATAATGTTTTGCCAAGCAATTAAAGTGTTGCTCAGAGATCTGTGGCGTAACGTTTTCTAGCCAGGGAAAAATGACAGGATCCCTCACTTCACTTGGAATGGGGAGCAGAAAACTGGACTTCAGCTTCTGAGCTTTTGTGGCTCTAAACTATGGGAACAGAGCCTACCATCCATCCCGAGGGAGGCTGCAGGGAGTGACTGCTGCTTCTTAGCTGGTGCAGGCACCCACCATTTCAGAAGTTACTGGCACAGGGCTGAGCTGTGCAGCTGATCACACACGCTCCTGAGCTTGCCCAAGCACAAGGGAGAGGCCATGGCTTTGGCTCATCTGTTTCATATATGGACCATGCTACTAAGGTCATATGTCCAAGTAATTTAAGTAAATCTGAATAATTAAAGACAGCAACCTGGCTGCAGGTTACTGATATTAGAGGTTCTCTGAAGCCCAGTGTATGGTAAAAGAAAGGGAGGCATTTTATCCTAATTCCTTGGACTTCACAAAATACCTGTAAGATCTGCAGGACATACTTGGTAAATTTACTCACCCTCACAGACTATACCTGGACTCCAGAGGGCTTCTCGCAGGTAACTCAACCTCCACAAGCCTACAGAGCAGTGTAGATCACAGGCAGCAGCACTCACAGAGTATTCTCTGTTGGAAGGGACCCAACAAGGATCATGAAGTCCAACCTTTAAGTGAATGGCCCATACAGGGATCAAACCCACAGCCTTGGTGTTATTAGCACCGTGCTCTAGGCAACCGAGCCGGTCTCAGGCTCACTCATGAGGTCAGCAGCTGTCCAGGGCACTGCCTGTCAATCCTAGTCCTGGCATTCCAATTTTGCAAAGCAGCTTGGAAGACGCTTTGTTTGCCTCCAGCAAGCAGCATTCGTCGTGCTCCCATCTGGGGCCTGTCATCCCTCCTGCAGCCTGGAGCAGCATCCTGTCCCTATGCTTGTGCCAGTGGTGGCACTTACTGGATTTGCTGTCCAGCTCACTAACCCAGCAGAAAGCCACCCTGGCATGGGGGGGGTGGCCCCCTAAGGGAATGTAATAGCAAAGTGGGAGAGCAAGGAGTTCTGCATGTCTTAGAACCACAACCTAAACTGCACACAGTACTGGATAGTCAGGTATCTCTCTACTGCTGCCTGTCCAGTTATGTGGACAAAACCCCCTGGCTCATCTAGGTATTTCTAAATGATATATGTAAGATACCAAACCACAATACCTGCAGTTAGTATTTACTAACTGTAATTCTACTTTAAATTGACTTTTAAATACTAGCTTGACGGTTAATTCCTGTTGACTTGGTAATAACCGTCTCTGGGGCTAAAATCTCTCATTTTCATATATAAACACCTCCCCTTTTAAGTTTTATTCAGGTACTACTGAAAACCAGCATCTACATACAAAACACCTTCTTCAAAGTTTTGTCACGTTTATTTTTTCTGGGCCCATTTATTTATCCCAAATGCTTTTTCCATCATAAATTTTAGTAAAAATCCTTGGCACAGTATGTGGAGAGCTGTTAGCACTATCAGTGTTGCCACCTACAGTTACCACAGTAAAAAATAGACAAAAAAAAATCTGGTTTGTATTTCTTTTCTATTTCACAGGTGTGTTACACTGCTGTTGAAATTTTTGGTGCTTTCTGCTTTTCCCACAGCACATGCTATGTCATCCATTCAGTTCTTTATGTTTGATTTCCACATAGGAAAGTAACCAAACCAAGAAGTGAAAGGAGAAGGGGAAAAACCAAACAACATCCCCACTGTAGTAGATTTCCCCTTCAAACTTTACCAAGTTGCCAGCAAAAGCTGCCATTATAACCACATTCTGGAAAAAACACCATTCTTCTTCGCAGCAGACGAAAGTCCAACTGTAAACAAAATCGGTGTCAGGATTTTGCCAGCTTAAGTGTTCTCTGAAGTTCCTGCAGTTGCATGTTGCCCTGAGTAATCATCATCCTGATTGCATCCTGTAAAACCAAATGGAGTCTACTGAACAGAACATCCATACACAGGTTGTACACAGGTTTTACACAGCCATGCAGATTTTTAATGCATTAAAATACATACAATTCTTACTGGCACTACCTTCATCTATTTCTTTGTGTGAAGTAACACTGAGGTGGTTAAGGAACAGGTGACTACATGAATTAATTTTTCCCAGTTTCTCAATGATGTGCTTGGTTGTGGCTTTAAAGCTCAGTTTTTAACTGGATTGAAACTTTTAACAATTATTTTCTTTATGTTTCTGTGTCTACCGCCTCTGCACGTCAGCAGTGACAAGTGCACATGGGCATTACGGAGACAGGGCTTCTACAGAGCAGGTGGCTGTTTCTCCCAACATTACATGTGTTCCCTAAGGCTATGTCTGCATAGCTCAGTCACAAATTCCTTGGTCCCTGGCTAGAAAAAGGAACAAACAAGAAAAGAGGACTGGAGACATACAAGAAATGTGAAGGTTTCTGCATTTCATATTTGTTTCATATCCGAAACCATCCGATTTGATTGTATTCCGCTTGAATATAGTTGAAATTAAAGATTTTTTTAAAAAAAAACCTATAGAAAGTTTAACCATTAATAATTTTATATTAGTTACCATATTACTCAGTTTTCCTGATCTGTGGTTTGAGTAAGCAGAATATTTGTTTTTTAGCTTTTTAATTCCAGGTTATTCTCTGGAAATTAAAAGAAACATTACTACCGCCAACATGGGGGATAATATTTATAGATATGCTGGGTTATTTCTTCTATAAATGAGAAAATAGTGGCAGGAGACTTCTCTCCAGTCTGGAAGTGACACCTACAAAACAGCCCCTCCCATGACACAGGACAGGATCGCAGAGTGACCATTCCCCAGGGCAGGCGGTCAGGGTTGTGCGTTCCCGATCCTCACCTCTTCCGTAGCGTCCTTATTTCTCTTGAACTCCTCCCTGGCCCAGTCCCTCAAGTAGCGGCGATCCTGTTCAGCAGGGACCTCCCGGATAGCCCGCAGGATCTTGCGGTACAACTGAAGGACCTGCTGCCGCCTCAGGAACTGGGGAGCAAGAGAGGGAGGTCTGCCCGCTGCCCCGGGACGCTGCTGCGAGCCTCACCCCCGGCGGCTTCGCTCCGAGGGACATTTAAGCAAACACAGAGAGCCCCGTCGCCATTTCTAAAAGGCGCAGTCCCCCCGCGGGACACAGCCCCGCCGCCCCCGGCCCGAGCTGCCCCACCGTACCTGCTTGAGGCTGAGCGCGCCCGGCGGGAGGCGCCCGGCGGCCATGACGCGGCTCCGCCTCCGTCTCCGCCCCGCCACGGGGCCGCCGGGCCCGCCCCCGGCGGGAGGGGCCACCCGCCGCCATTTCCTGGGGTGTCACCTGCGTGTGGGGAGTTCGGTTCGATCCTTCGGGCTTTGATCAATTCCGACAACAGGCATCGTAATTAAAAAGAGCGGCACCTCTTTTTTATTAGTACAGACGATACAAGATGCATAGCCTTTACAGTGAAAAACCACGTCCGTGCTCTTAAGACATCGGATTTACGAAACGTCCTCAATGTCTGCCTCGGACAGAGGGGCAAACTTCACAGTGTAAACTGATAGAAAAGAGATCAGCATATGGCATTATTCAGAAAACTCCCTGTTGCTGCCGTCAGACAAAAATCTGCAGTAATTAAATAGGATGTGTTAAACTGCAGAGTACTTTCAAGTATTCCAGAACTCATTTTTTCGGTCGTTCAAAACCATCTGCTTCCCTGCTCCTCCACTCCTTCAGACACTTCAAGTTCTAACACAGAAATGCCTTCCCAGAAGCAAGACTGATTTTTCCTATGGCAGCAGAGACAGGCAGGAATAATTGTACTTCTGTGAATATTACAAATACTTTTTTTTTTTTTTTGGTAGGTAATAAGTTATTACAAGAGAAGTTGAGGAAAGTTTATTCGTGGGAGTAGCAGGAGACAGTCTCACAATTGCATAATTGTCCTCTGACAAACATGGGAGAGTGCACCTAAACCACTTAGTTCTGTGCAGTCGGACTGCCCAAGGGCAGCTCCTGCAGGTTAATCCTCCTTAGGAAGGTCCTTATGATCCCTCCAGTGAAAGGCTGTTTCATGTATTTCAGCAGTTTAGCAGCAATCGGGTCCTGACTTTGTCTACAAAGCCTTACAAAGTGTCTGAGGCAGTCACCAGTTCAAACCACTGTCTGAGTGCATCACTCAGAGTTTCTGGAAGTGCGTTCACATCTCTAAGGATCATGTAGAACGGGAATGGGAATTCCTCCATGTAAGATCTGATTTCAGGCAGTTCTCCAGGTCCTTTGAATATAGGTACTTTAATGTCCAAAATGGAATCCTGTAAAACAGTATTTATGTTACTGCTAAATGACATGCATCTTTTATGGCCACTGATATAATTTATCCTTTTTTTCAAATACTTATAATTCCTCCCATTAGATTAAAAGTTAATAAAATACTTCTAAGATTAAAAGCTGTAAGTGTTCAATGGTAAATCAGACCAAAAGCTGAACAACAAAGAAGTTAAATACTTTTGCCCTTTTTAGATGAAAGTGCTCTAATCCATGAATTACAGGCTAGAAGAGACTAAGCTTAAGCTTCTGCAATACCAAGTTCCATAAATATTGTCTTTCCTTAGCATTTTAAGAGTTGAGTTTACTGCTATTATCACTTTGGTTTTATATATTTGATGCCTTTCCAACACTGTCATCTTTAAGCTCTTTAGGGCTGAGTTCAGCTTGCATTTGTGCAGTGCAATAAGACAAGATTCTTTAGCAACTTATTTCATAATATTTCAACAAATACTACAAAGACAAAAATCAGATTAAACTCCAGCTGTGCTTCTTGTAAAGTAAATTCTTAGTTGCTCAGTGTAGCAGTTCAGAAAATAAATGAAGCTTATGTAAAACCACCTTTTTTGTCCCCCAGAAAAAACACGAAAAACACACAGAATTTTTGCTTGATATTAGGCAACAGTATCTGAACAGTCCAGCTTCATCAGAACATTAAAACAGTTTGTCAGCAAGAGAATTTTTCAACACTAAATTTTTCAATACTAAGTATAGCAGATGAGTTTTGTATAAAAAAAATAGAGGAAGAAAATGTGAACTACAAAATTAGTCTTCACCGCATAATTCAAAGTAAACCTTAAGTTTGCTCACTTATTGCACTCAAGAGTCGTCCTGAAAAGCTCCCAGGTATTTCAGCTTCCCATCCAAGGATATCCAACAGTTCCCCCC